GTAAATAAATAGACAATAAATGATTGACTACGCTTATAAAATTGTGAACCATTGTCTACGCATGGTCCAATAACAGCCTTATGCCTAAGCCATTTCAAAAATTCAAATCCAATTTGAAAAAATGTTAAACCAATTTGAAAATTTTATTCTTGTATTAGTTAGTGAATAATTAGAATTTAGAACACTTTTTTAATGTATTCCTCGGTTTTAAACTTATCTTTGAAGTCGTTTATTTAAAACACTGGGAAAAGTAGTTAATACTTAAAACTAACTAATACACGCAATATAAAGCAGTTTTACATTAATTAAATATTAAATTATCTAAAAAAAAAACAGCATATTATTATAATAATACTGTTATAATAATAATTGTTGACTACTGAGTGAATTAGTTACTTTCCATAAATATGTACTGTCTTGGGTTTTCCTATTTTTGCTCAGTGGACATTTTCATTAGTAGTTCCTATATGCGCAAATAGTTTTTGTAATTTTATGTCAACTAAAGTTAGACTTGTAAAATTGTTATATCCAGGGTTTTCTTTGTTATACATTTTTTTTATGTACACTTTTAAGTTTTTGGTTTATAAGGTTGCCAATTTAAAGTGTTGGTTAGTTCATTTATTTTTATTTTATTTGTCTGTGTTAACAAAACATTGTATTCTAATAAATCATTTTTAATTCATGATAAATTGTTAAGAGTGTACTTTATCAAACTTCCTTGGGTTTATTAAAGAGCTGGTTTTGCCGGCTCGTCTCGAACTTAAAAGTATCGAGAGCTGCAATACGATTTCGACGAATTTTATTACCAACGCTATTTATTACCACTATTCACCACAATAATATTGCACACTGATAGTCAACACAACTACAACTTAAAGGTTAGGCTATGTGAAGAAATAATTTTAGGAATCAGCAAAAATAATAATAAATAGTTGCTAGGCAGCGGTGACAAAAACAATTCTATTGCGATGGTATGGATACTGATTGTGTATTTAATATGCATTCATATTTATCCAAAAGTTTTTTTTTTAATTAAATACCAAGATGTAGTTAGTTACAGATGTGCATGAAATTGAATCATGGTGTACCACAAGTCAGTGTTCTTGGACCTATTTTGTATATTTTGTTCACTTATGACCTTCCATGTACTCAGGGTATTACAGTCGCAACATTTGCAGACAACACTGCTTTTTTATCATCAAATTAGGATCCTATTCTGGCATCATCAAACCTTCAGGCTGCATTAGACGATTTGTCTCAGTGGCTACAGAATTTGAAAAATTTAAGTAAATGAAACAAAATCGTAAGATTTACTATGTCAACAAGAACTTGCCTCCCGTAAAATTGAACATTGAATAATGACTTGCTTCCACAAATAACAAAGTTAAGTACCTTGGTAAGCATCTCGACAGACGGCTTATATGGCATTCACACATTTGGAACAAACGACTTCATATAAATTTGAAAACAAACAAACTAGATTGGTTTATTGGTCGAAATTCAAAATTATCTGTTGAAAACAAATTACTTTTATACAAAATTATATTGAAACCTATTTGGACCTACGGTATCCAACTGTTACTGTTAATACTGTTTAATGAAATGGCGACAATACAAAGTAGGTATTTTGAGCCAAGTATGAATGGAGATGAGTGTAGGATGAGTGGATCTTGTAGTCTTGTTAGTGACTAAGGCCGACATTCCTTAGACACAGCTGTTAATTAATAGCCCATACAGCTAATGGCAACTAAGGGACCTACAGTTTATAGTGGAATCCGAACCACATTTTTTCCTTGGTATATACGAATTGGTCTAATTATCAGGATAGTACTGCGGATAGTCGTAGTACTCACTCGTACGGACGTTAATCCACACCAGGGAGTATCACATCCACAGTGCAGGCCTATAAATATCCACATTTTGTGACCTTCCTAGTAGCTGGATTACAGGACGACGGCACAGTCCCAGTCTCTGGGGAACCACTTCAAACTCAAACATAGAAATAGTTCAAAGATTTCAATCCAAAACACTAAGAAAAATTTTACAAGCGCATTGGTTTATCACAAATAAAGTTATTCATCAAGATACAAAATTATCCTATATTAGAGAAGGAATTAAAAAACCAAGCGAAAAATATCAAAGAAAGCCATCAAAATTTCCTTGCAGTTAACCTCCTCGATAATAGTGAAGTAGTGATATAGGCTCAAAAGAGTTAATCAAATAGACCTTCCAAATTGTTTCTAGTTAAATTTATAAGTTTTTGTATGTTAGTGCACTTGATGGAGTGTAACTATACAAGTTACCCGTGTTAAATTGTCATTTAATTTACTTATTGTTCTAGTATAGAATAGATTGAAAATAAATACTTGTTTAAAAAAAAATAGAAAAAAGCAGCTGATTTTGCGGCTTTAGGGATGTAAAAACCTGCTCAGTCCCCAAATGACGTTGACAGCTGGCATGGCCAGCAAAAGGTAACTTTCAGCCACCAATTGACATAATTATGTAAAACAGCTAAAAAGATCATAGCGTGCTGAAATAGTATATTACGTCACTAGTCCTGAAAATAAGTGTTTGTTGGACGAGCGTGGTCGGTCCTTTTTTGGGATAATCATACGAGTCCTGTAAACACATTTTGGACGAGTGACGTATGATAGTTTACGCCATACTACTAAATCCGTATAAATCCTTACATGTTACCACCAACTAAAGGACTAAAAATTACTAGTCATAACCCCTAAGAGAGGTTATGTTTTTGTTTATAACCAGTAACCACTCATTCATTGCCACCCAAATACAGTTAATCAGCTGATTGATTTGTGTCCGGTAAAACTCATTACAGTACAGTAGTACTCAATGAAACCCCATTTGAATAAGCTGGCGGCAAACAGCTGTTTTCTGGACTAAATCCTTGCGTGGGAAGTTCGGCAAAATAATGTAGTGTGGCGTAAACATAATTTTAAAATGTACTTTTATAAAATCTCTTAAAACCCACTTTTGATTAACATAAGTAATTACAGAACATTTTTCAGCACTAAATTTATTTCTTATTTTTAGCCAGGGGGGTGCAAGTGTGCACCCCTGAGGGCGCCCATGAAGGATGCCAACTTTGTAGGGTGACTGTAGGAAAGGAAAAGTATATTTTCCAATGTTATTGACTTGACTCTATTCAACACATGAACAGTACTCATGTTTTATTGAATAAAGAATGATTTGATTTGATTAGCGGTTTGAGATATAATTTTGACCTACCTAGTAAAACTGAAGATTGGTAACTGAACGAGATTGCATTAAGACAACACTACCATTTAGTAAAAAAGTATAGTCTGTTCTAAAAACGAGAGTAAAGCAGCAGTCTCCATACAAGGCACACTCACACTACCAGCTAAAACTACCAACATTCCAACAATTATTATCAATCATTGCTTATTGCTGACTGTTTGGATAAGTGTTTTTTATGCCATAAAGATACAATTTCAAAGCTTGGTTGTTCTTTATTCTTTCTTAAAATTTATTGTTTGTTACTTTGGTATTATCATTGACTATTGGATACTGAAGTTGTATTAATAGTCAAAGGTATTATAGCGACCACAACTAATTACTAATAACAACCTAACCTAAGGGTGGACTATGTTTTAGGTTAGGGGAGGGTAGGTTGGGAAGATTTTGTTATTTAAACTAATTAAAATCTTACTAGGTAAACCCCGTCGAAATCGACGCTTACTAAAAGGCATGCACTAATTCATCTAACTACAAGAGTGAAATTATCAAAACGTTGAGCATTTAGCTTTGTTTAATGAGTAATAAATGAGTGTAAAAACAATAATGACTATTGCATTCATCTTTCAACAAATAAAATATTTCCAGTACTGTATGTCCTCAGAGTTATTATTACGATTTTAACTGGTTTCCCTTTCTTTTGGAAGAACCTTTAAATAGTATTTAAACAATCTTATTGGTAGATCTTTTGTCGTGAACATTTCCGTGATTTCATCAGCGCAAAGTGCAATGCAGATATTAAATCTGTCCTTTTATTTGTGAAAAAAATCTGTTTCTTGAGAAGCCACTTTCTTACTTGAAAGGGAGGTCTACCCTTAAGCTGTGTAAGTTTTATTTTTTTATTTTCCTTTGTCACACCGGACATCAAACAGTACTTCTGTGCCAACGAATAACCCAGCCTCAATCGCATAGTTTTGTCAATATAATCTCTCTTCGGGATATTCTTGGTGTAGTGGAATATACTTGTAGTGAAACCTGGTTTTTATTATTGAACTGTTAGGGGCCACGTTTTAAAACGCTATTTTCAACTTGTTAAACTTAGCTTAGGAGTGAGAATTGAAATGATGTTTTAGGGTAATAATGTAAATTTTAACTTATTTGAAATTGCTACCAAAGTAATGCGGTACTAACTAAAGAATATTACTTTTTGTCTACAATTAATGGCCTCCCACAAAGTCAAACTTTAACTTAGTTTTACAAAAACCAGTCTATTTGTTAAAATATTTTTAATTGCAAGAGGTAAAATTTAGAATTAAGAGTTTTCACTACACGTCTTAAGAAGCGATTCAAGGCAAAAGAATTAGCTGTTTCTGACACTATTTGTAGGGACTGAATTTGATTATAACATGTTTTCTTGAGGTTAAAGGATGTTTCTGATTTCCTATAGCCTCATATGCCCACCAAATTGTTTGCATTTTGTTATGTTAAGAATAACATAACAATAGAACATAACATAATAATAGAAATTTTTTAAATTCTAAGTATTTTTTTAATTTTAAAATATTTTTTTTTATTGTGAGAGGTCATTATTGATTAAAGAACAACATAATCTATTCTTTAGTCAGTTGTTATTACTGCTTTACTTCAGTAGTACTGCTAGCTGTTTTTTCCACAACTTCGAATAAGTTTAAGTTTATATTTTTCAAAGTGTGATCATAAATTAAAGTTTATTAATTATAATTTACATAGTTCGGGATCCAAGGTTCAACAAAACAAGACACAAATAACACTGTCCAGTACGTTATTTACTGACATCACCATTTTACACATTTCAACATTATATGTACATAAACAAGAAGCAGTTAAATATTTTATGACTAAACTTTGCTACATGACATTACAAACCGCTTAATATAATTGTAACAGTCCAATCCTGTGCCTAGCCTACAAGGAATGATGCTCTCTGTCCTCGGATGGTAACTTGAACTATGCTTGGCGAGGACGTTCTAAACTAACGCTTCAATAATACATTTAAAATACTTTAAAGTAGGGATGGTCAAGTCTCGAAATTTCGGGAAATTTTCGGGAAATTTTCAATCTCGTTACACGAGACGAGATTACTTTTTGGCCGAGATTTTTATCGAGACGAGAAAAAAAAAAAAAAAAAAAAAAAAAAAAAAAAAAAAAAAATTAAAAACGCCTGCAGAAAGTCAATGCAATACCCGCAATACAGGAGCGTGTTGTAGTTGCGTTTCCTTTTCGAAGGCGTTCTTATTTAATTAATTCTTTTAATGTAAATATTACTTTAATTCTTTTAATGTAAATATTACTTTCATTATTTTAATAATATTACTTTAATAACATTTGAGAAGTTTTGCGAAGTGTAAGCAGTGTGAGGAATGTTTTATTACTATAAAAAAAAAGTCAAAACAAGTAACTATTTTATAAAAATTAATATTGCTTTTATTTTATGATTTATTTTATTTTAGGATAAGTTGAACTCTATCCTAACTGATATCACCATGTTTCCTAATCGTAGGCATTTTTAATAAGTTAGGCGTGATTAATAAAAAAATGTTATGCTGATGTTATTTAATGAAAGATTTTAAATATTCTTGCCTATTACCATTATTTTAGTATTTAAACAGTCATCTAACAATGGTAAAAAATCAGGTAAAAATTTCGAACGTGCATTTCCCGTTGTGTATGAGAAGAGAAATCTCGTCTCGATCTCGTCTCGAAATTTTATGAGAAATAAAAAATCTCGTCTCGTCTCGTCTCGAACTAAAAATCCAATCTCGTCCATCCCTACTTTAAAGTAACACAATATCGATTCGGTCATTTCACTCAAACCAAGTTACATGTTGAGCATATCTGATTTAAAACTTAGCAAACTGGTGATGGCAATATTAATGACACAAGACAAAATATTGAGTAAAAGATTCATAATTTTAATTATGATTTTTGTTAAATAAAGGTTTAGGACCATGATTACAATGATTGTACTGTAAAAGCCTCATTGTATTAAGTAAAATGATTTGTTTGCACTATCTTTAAAAAAATAATAACGAATACAAAACTTTAACATGTCACAAAGACAAAACATTCCTTATATCAATAAATTAAGCTGCAATAATTCAATTTGTAATGTTAGCTACAACGATGAAATAAAATAATAAATAAAATACTAATGTTAATCCCCACACTAAAGTCATTAAAATAATTGATATCATCATTCCTTTAGGAAGGTGTTAATTTTTGTTCTTTATTCCATCCAGAGTGCTCAATGCAAAAGTAGAAAACATTAATGAGGCTTTCAGAAAACTGTGCCTAAGCACTAAAAACCTTTTCAATGGATGTGCACTGATAAGATTTAACATTTTTAGAGACTCGTGAAAATGAATTAGCACTCTAGCAAGGAATAAGAAGTATTACATTTGTTTAATAATAGGTTCTATGGACAATTTATGAATAAGGGCACTCAAAACATCCAAAACTCACATTCAACAATTATTTTGGTTTATATCTTTTTCAAAAAAATTTTAAAGTGCTAATACAGTCATAATACAAAAGATAGTTTTTCAAACAAGATATATAACATGGCAACTTATATGTTAAAAACAGTAAAAAAGTATATATGTCTTTTTATTAGACTACCAGTGATTTTATCATCATTTGTGTTACATTTTTAACCTCATTTAACAACACTTAATCACTGTACTGTATCAACAATCAACACACACCATGAACAATTAACCCAACACCATCGGCTAGGTAAAGCGAAGAATTTAAGCAGATTTTTCTACATTGACTTAAATTTCCTTTAGCACAGCACGAAATTGACTTCCAAAATCTTGGATCTAAGAGAATCTCGAATGTAACAATTTGTGAGTCTGGATGTAGTGATTAGAGTGATTACAATAGTGACTATGATAACAAGTGCAACAACCATGCAACTAGAAGCTAAGATAACAACGGTATTGTCTGATTCTCTGTCGAGAGTGCAACGGCGACGAGCAAGCGATGTACAGTGCGCTGTGGTTACAATAGTACAGAGAAACTCAACAATAGCCATAGACCATGTTACCTCTGGGTGTATTACCATTACGAACTCGGAGGCGGATATCTCTGTACTATTGATGTGAAGAAAGTGGATGCAAATGCAAGTAAATACAGCTGCAAAGTGCAGAAGAAGGACTTCGGCTTTCCCCTCGAGGGGAGTGATACAAACACTATTTTATAATCTGTTAAATGCCTTAACATTATTGCTTCTCACCATCACCTTTGGGGAAAATAAACTGGTAAATGAATGACGGACGATCGTTAGCTTATCGTATTTACTAGCGAACAATTTGTGTTATTAAGCATTTAATAACAACAAACCGTTTGAAATATATTAATTGATTTACAACAAAGATGAACATTCTTCTTAATAGAATATTTAACAGTAATAACAAATAAATAAGGAAAACAAAACATGGCCGTATTTCGCTGAAAAGCCACAAGGACCTGGCAAAGTTTGATTATGATACAGGGCAACTGAGCGACCATTTCAACAGTTCAGGCCTTTAAACTCAATCGATAAAATAAATGGAATTCTCTCACAGCCAACCTATTATAATAAATAATCATAACTCATCTTTTAACACGCTTGACGTTCTTATAATAAAATAATACAAGATCTATTAAACAATCAACAAACATCTATCAACTTAACAACTACATGACTTTTTAACAGTTTCTAAAAACTAAATATAACACTAGATAGATACAAAATAATACAATGTTCCTATGTGGGAAAAAGACCCCTGAATTTTACATATTTGACACCATATATTATATCAACAATATTTAATATTGTGGTAATTAATTATTTAGACTACTTAAACTAAATGTGAAGGCGAGAGTCGGTGCACCATCGTTTCGTTGAACTTGCGCCTACTTGCTGCAAAATCTGAAAACATTCACCATGAATAAGACACCTAATACATTAGTTTGTGTAACCAATCATGCTTATAGTATTTTCCTACTGCAGGTTACCAATAAGTTGTGTTGTAAACATCAGTTATTACTTCAAGTAATAAAATAAAGTAATGCAACTATGTACACAGAATTATCTTAAACAGTAACAGCTGATTGAATTGTAAACATTGAAAGATGACCCTTAGAACTACATTCATGCTGAGAAGGGGGTCATTCAATGGCCTTATTAGACACACACACACACACACACACGTTTACTAAATCTGGTTTTTTTTTATGCTTGTATCTACGCCAGTGGCATTTTTGTAATGAGGTAATTTCAAACACTTTTAAGGGAAATCGGTCCAAACCCATTAAAGTTTTGTGGATGTGCCGGGGATTGAACCCGTCCCTCCCGCACCGAAGTCCAAGATGCCAACCACTAGGCTAGCAACACAACAAAAAAATTTCCAAAAAATTGGCTTAAAAATTTCTAGAATTCAAGACAAATTTATGAACATTAAATACTACTATAAGAACCTTCCTTTAAGCTTTATCACACTGCTTTTCTTTTAAGAAAAATCTTTTAATAAAACCATAGTTCCTTTATCACATAATGTATTGAACTGCTGTATTGAAAAAAAATATGTAGGCACTTAAGAAATTGTAGGCTTAAAATGGTATCCTTCATTTTATTCATTAGCGTGTATGCACTTTTACTTGGGAAAAAGGAATGATATTATACTTTGGTCTGTAGTATAAAAATTGCAGTTTTGATGACACCAGTAATTGTCTTCCACAATCGCGGCAACATCTGTATGCGTATCTTGCTGTCTCAGCGACAGCAGTAATCGTGGCAAAATTTGTAAGCAAACTTGCAGTCTCTTCGCCATCGCACAGCACCGCTGATTGACCTTTCAGCTAACTTTCATGGCAATATGGAAATTGTGTAAGATTCTGTTTTCCTGGAATTTCAGGAGAATAGACACCAAGATTCAAACAATTTGTGTAGCATTCCCGGGTTTACTTACTTACTTACTTCCGCAGCTCTACAGGCCTTGGTGGCCTTTGGCTTCTGCTACAATTTCCCTCCAATCGCCTCGATCTTGCGCCATCTCTTTCCAATTCCTCACTCTCAACATCCTCTGGTCATCCCCCACTTCATCAAGCTATCTTCTTCTCGGCCTATCCCTTCTCCTAGTCCCTTCCATGTTCTGGCACAATAGTTCTTTGGGCTGTCTTCCTTCAGGCATTCTCTCCACATGGCCTAACCAACTGATCCTTCTTGCTTTGATGAAGTGCACAATATCCCCCCCTTGCAAAATCTTGTTTATTTCAGCATTCTTCAATATCCTCTATCCATCCCCTTCCTGGATTCCGGGGTTTTCTGTCCTGTATTTCCCGAAGAGTACACAACATGATTCATATAATTTGTGTAGGATTCCCAGTTTACCTTGCATTCCCAGAGAGCATCACCATGATTTTAAGTGTGCCTCTCTCACCAGACTCTGACACAGACAGGTTTTGAGTTGCACCTCAGACCTGACTGATCCATCTATGGTGGTGTCTCCTGGCCCAACCACTTGGTCATTGATTAGGCAAACAGCCTATCATACTAACATAACTGGTCAAAACTTGACACCCAGGTAGAAGCAAATGCCAGATATACTTTCAAGTGAAATTGGTACCTATCTACCTAGTACATACCTAGTATAGTGAGTGCACTGTGAGTTCCCGCTCCGGCAGCTGGCGCACCTTCATGGAGCCATCGGCGCCACAGCTGAACAGTCTGGCTGCGCCGTCCACGTGTAGCTGCGTCACGCCCTGGCCAATGTGCTTGAAGAAGGACGACCGAGCGTGTTCACCAGGAAACGAGTACAGCAACTGGTGAATACTCAAACCCCACACCTCAACAGACAGTCGCATAGATTAATTGTGCTAATTACATACATATTTTCATTTTTATAAAATTAGGGAGAAAAGTAAGCCTTCACGATGCTACAAGTAGTCAACATTACAATATTAGCAATATTCATTTAGAGTGAATTTGAAGGGAAGGATTTTGGTAATTAAAAACCTATTAAAAAGTATTGTTAAAATATTAAGTTACATTTCAGTAAAGTCAAAAGTGACTAAGACTAATTAAACTTTTGCCATAAAATATTTAGAGATTCACCCATTTTGCATGTATATTTCTATTGTAAATCATCAGACTTACCTTGATGTCACCGTCTGCTGCCCCGGTGACAAAGAACTCCTCAGCAGGATCAATGGCCAGACACTTGACAGGACTTTCGTGAGCAACAAAGCGGTGGCGAATGCTGCGTTGTCGCACGTCCAGTATGCAGACATCTCCCTTCTTGCCTGCGGAGATCAGGAGCTGGTGCTGCGGCGCAAAAACTATGCTCGAAGCACCCTGATCGTGACAGGTGAATGCTGCGAACATTAAAATGAAATGAAAAATTCTTTATTTTACCAGGCAAAGTTAGGGCCACATGGCCCTCTCTTACACTTAACCTGACAAACTTAAATATAAATAAATAAAAAATACAATGACATTTCTTAATCTAATATAAAAATACATATTTAACACATCAAGTACAAGTTAAACAAAAATTCAATTTATTTAACTAATTAACTAATTTAAAAAAATAGTAAATTATTATAAATTAATAGAATATACAAAAGAAAACACGTTCACACTCCCACACGCATACGCACCAGCAATCGCGCAAAGACGCAGAAGCCCTAGGACACGCCAGCCGAGAACATTTGCTCAAAGTAGAGATTTTTTAGTGCCGCCACAAACTGGGAACGTTTATCAAGGGATTTAATGTGTAGGGGTAGGCTGTTCCAAAGACGGCAAGCGGTAACAACAAAAGCCCTGTCATAAACGGTGGTCACATGATGAGGTATACGCAATGTGATCGAAGAAGAACGAGAAATTCGTGAACTACCCTGAGACACAAATTTAAAATCTGATGTAAAATATTTCGGGGAGCCTGATTTCAAAATTAAAAAGACTAATGACAAAATTTTGATGGATCTTTGATAATTTAGTTTCAAGATGTTTGCCTCAAGGTAGTATGGCGTGATACGCTCCTCACGCCGCAGACCATAGACAAATCTCAAAGCGTAATTCTGAGACCGCTGGAGCATATCCGCCTGAATCACAGTCATGTCATTGATCAATGAGTTGCAGTAACTGAAGTGGGGTAGTACAAGTGATTTGATCAAATGAAGTTTTGTGTGTTGTGGCAAAAAGTTCTGCAATCTTTTCAGTGAATGTATGGAGGCAAAAACCTTTTTTCGTGTGTCTGTAACTGCTGTGTCCCAAGTAAGTGAAGAGTTGAAAGATATGCCAAGATTCTTTACTTTGTCGTAGTAGGGAAGTGCTATTGCCACTCACTGTGATTGGGTTTATTGAGTCAAAGTCAATTGAAGGGCGAAGTCGAGGGTGGCAGATTACAATCGGTTTTGTCTTTTCGTGATTTAGTCTCAGTCCGTGATTGTCAGTCCAAGTAACTATTCGGTTGACATCTTCATTGATCCTTCTGACACAGTCATTTTCGTTGTTTGCAGTAAAATAGTCATAGATTTGTAAGTCGTCAGCGTACATGTGGTGTTTACAGTTGGTCAAGGTCGAGTTTATGTCGTTGACGTACAGTACAAAGAGCAGTGGTCCAAGGATTGATCCTTGGGGCACACCGCATGCCCCATCTATATGGAGCCATAGTGGGGCATCTATATGCCCCATCTATATTGTTGCTCATCTATATGGAGCAACAACTCAAATCAATCTAGATAAAATATTAAAACATCAAAAAAGAGCAGTGAGAGTAATGCTCAGACTAAATTCTGATGTCTCGGTAAAAGAGCACTTTAAACAGCTAAACATACTAACTGTTTATGGGCAGTATATTTATGATTCAATTTTAATTTTTAAAAATAAAACCTCATCCGATGTATCCAATCTACCGGTTCACCGATATGAAACGAGAAAAAAAAATCAGATTTTGCAAAATAGGCACAGATTAAAGTTTTATGAAAAAAAGCCATCATTTGCTGGTAAAAGTTTTTTTAAACATATCCCCGGAGGAATTAGAAATGAAAAAGATCCAAAAAAGTTTAAAACAAAACTAAAAAATTTCTTAATAAACATGGCAATTTATTCTCAAGAAGAATTTTTCCACCTCCCTCAAGAATACTAGAAGAAGGCATCTGTATGGGGAGATGTATTTTTTAATTTAAGATTTATTTTTAATCTGTATTTTATATTTTAATAATTGTAATCTTTGACACTATTCAAATGCTGTATTATGTATACTTCTCAATGAATAAAGAAATTGAAAATTGAAATTGAAATTGAAACATGTAACAGTCATCCAGTCTGATCTTGTGTCACCAACCTCCACACATTGCTGCCTATCTGACAGATAAGATCTCAGCCATTTAAGAGAATTCTGGGAAAACCCTATTGCCCTTAATTTCTGCACCAGCAAGTCATGATTAACACAGTCAAATGCTTTGGAAAAATCAAACAGAGTTAGAATCGTTCCTTGTCGACGCTCCATAGCAAGTCTAATGTCTTCAGTCACTCGAAGGAGTGCTGTTTCTGTACTGTGCGCTGATCTGAAACCAGATTGATAGTCAGATAGAATGTTATTTTCAGTGATGAATTCAGTGATTTGACAGTGAACGATCCTTTCTAGGCCTTTAGATAGAGCGGGCAAAATACTTATCGGCCTGAAATCCCCAACCAGGGTTGGTGCTGAGATCTTTTTTAGGGGACGGACAATGGCAGACTTCCAAAATGAAGGGAAAGAACAGTGCCTCAAAGATGCATTAAAAATGAACGTGATAGTAGGAAGGATTGCGTAGAGGATGTCTTTGATAAAGCGGATAGGTATCCCATCAGAACCGACAGCATTGCTTCGGATTCTGCGAATAGCCATCAAAACATCAGACTGAATAACTGGTTTGAAATTAAACTCGGGATATCCCAGGTGCGGGGTTGGAGAGTTGACTAATTCATTCAAGTAACTATTGACTTTGTGCTGATTGGTATTTTGACTGCTAGAAGAAAAGTAAACGTTTAACTCATTTAGAGGGATGTGTACTGGTTGAGAATCAAATTGTTTCCCAAGCCCAAGACTTTTAACTTTACGCCATAAAACTCTCGATGGCTGTTTTTGATTTTCAAAAAGTGAATGAATGTATCTGAGTTTGGAATTTCGCAAAAGCTGTTTAACTCGATTACGAAGATTACAATATTGTTGTTTTAGTTCGATATTGTTGGAGTGCCTAGCTCTTCTACCTAAGCTATCACGTTTAGCCATCAAACCTTTGATTTCAGTGGTCATCCATGGAACAGGCCTTCTTTTTGTCACGCGCTTTGTTAGGATGGGAGCATGTTTGTCATAGAGATTTAATATGGAAGAATTTAGCTCATGAACCATTTCATCGACGGAATTTAAATTTTGAATGAAGTGCCACGGAGTTTGTTGAACGTCTAACATGAATTGTGCAACATTCATATTTTTAAGATCCCGATATTTAATAAGCTTTGCTTTGGGCTTAGGAGATTTGATTGAGTACACACAGAAAATAAGGTCATGTTTGGATATTGAAGGGACTGGAAGCTGCCCATGGTGAATGATATCTTGATGATTGGACACTACGATTAGATCTAAGAGGGTATCAGAATTGGCAACATGATGTGTGGGATCGAGTGGAAGTACAGTTAGGTTACATGATTCAAACAAAGTAGTCAGCTGTCTGTGTTCAAAGTTATGAGTCGGCGATAGTAAGTCAGTGTTGAAATCACCCATGATCAAAACATGACTGTATCTGAACATTTCATTAAGCAATGCATTTTCAAAATTGAGCAGATGCCCTGATCTTGGTGGGCGATAGCACACTCCTAGTAACAGCGCATCTGCTCCAGATAAACTAATCTCAATTAATAGAAATTCTGGCCCAGCCGAGTACTCCGATGGTGAAGAAAATATAGTTTTGAACTTTAAATCCTCCCGGATATACACCGCAACGCCACCGCCCTGTCTACCAATCCTATCATTTCGCTGCAGCACATATCCAGGGAGAGACACCTCATTTGAATGAATACTCGGCTTAAGCCAGGATTCAGAAATGCCAATCAAGTCAAAGTTTCCAGGATAAAAGATTTCTCTAACCTCATCAATGTGAGCACGCAAAGACTGGGCATTGATGTGCGCCGCTTTCAGGTGTTTAGGATATGGAGATAAGGAGCGAGAAAGACAATCAGCGGTGGACAATGTAGGGTGTAGGATGGGGGAGGGGGGAGAGATAAGCGGGTGAGTGAAAAACATTGAGTGAGATTAGAAAAAAGTAACATGTTTTAACATTAGATTTGTGCAACGACACTCCAGGGGGCATATTTATGAGTGATGAGTTTTAAATCAGATGAAAGCTCTGTTACTTACTAAAACCAGCTGGTTCCTTAGCCACGATCAGTTCATTTCACTTGGACCAGGATCATTGTGCTTATTTAAAGTCAAATAAAAACTGGAACTGGGAAATATCATGAGAATAAGAGACTAGATGTGTATGACTGTTTTAAGTCTTTTGTTTTCCATCAAGCTGTGGATATTATGACGTAGAACTGAGCGTACCTGCAATGAGAGCTTTTTTCTGAGGCAACAGTGTATCCCACATTGCAACGTTCTTGCTCTCAGAACTGTGACCAGCTGTGGCGACCAGACTACACGAGCCCAGGAACACAAAGTCACTTGTCAACTTGTTGTGGCACTGGTAGGTCTGTAAACAAACATGTACAAGGTTAATAGCAATTAGTTTGCGATAAAAGTTAAATGATTTTTGCTATAGAGTAAGAGGCCACGGCAAAGTTTTCTCTGCGCTGTTTTAGTGTTTCACACTGTACAGCTAAGAAGTGGTTCTGTAAGAAGTGGTTCGAGGGAGAAAATAAATTATCTGTACCTTGCAAGAAAAGTATCAAATCCAAAACTAACTAAGCTGACAGTTTAAACTCAATGAAGTGCTTGGATTCAATTCAAGGATGGACTTACAATGAAGGATTGACCAAATCTAGGTTCAATAATTTTTTCTGAGTCATCCAGCTTCATTTCTTGCAACATTCCACCAAATATAATTTGGAGATTTATTGAATCAACTTTGGTACATTGTTGAGTGAAAAGCATTGCTGTTGAACTCATATTACCATAACTTTGAGTGCTTATATATATTATTTTTTAATATCGCAGACAGTAAAAAAACTACATAACAATAATAAATCCAAGTTCTACAAATATAACCTATACAGTTCTTGCTTGTGCAATGTTTATTAGAAACTTGGCTTGAATCACTAAGTTAACCTTTATGACGATTTGCTGTTAGGCAGTAGTATTGACTTACAAAGAAAGGCAGGTTGCCACTAGCCAAAGTTCCAACTTGGGATTGGAACAAAGAGAGGTTTCCATCACCATCTGCGACCCCGAACTTGTTACCATGCTGACTGAAGCGAACACGTGTCACCTAAAACAACAAACGGTGCAAATTGGGGAATTAAAATTAATCCTTAAGTTTTGCTTTGCTCGCTTTTATAATGTGTTTTGAGTTTTGATTACTTATTTTATCGCTACAGCCTGGACTGACTCTTTTCAAAACAATACTCGATCAAGTTAAGGGTAAAAATAAAAAATGACTTTAAGGCTACACTTGAAGTGCGTACACACAGTACAACTTAGGCTACACTTCTAATATACTTTCTCTTAGATTTTAGCTGGTAATAAACTTTCTTGGACTTCTTGGGATTTTTCGTAAAGGAAATATTTTTGTGATTATACTCATCTTGTCAGACTCAAAGTTAACATTTAATAACCCCATCAATGACAATGGGACGATAAAGTAAAATTAACTATCTTTGACTATTGATAAAATTATACATTCTATTACCATGTTAAGGTTGTAGTATTATGTATTATGTTTAAGTATGTAGATTAACACTCTGTGTAGTTTGATCAAGCAACCAACAAAGTGTGCTGATATAATAATTTTAAATTTACCGATTCCTGTTTCATAAGCCAACTATTTAGCCATGTAATTACTCTTAACAGATTAGATTATTATAAACTAACTGTTGTACCCGTGCTTTGCGACGGGAAGAGGAAATAGAAAATTGTTGATCTTTACATTTGTTGTATAAAATAGTTACACCCCTGTTCGTAACCTTATAACTTGACTAGCAGACAGGGTGTCCACAGAAATTTTGTCATCAATTTCCCTGACTTTCCATGACTATCCATGACCATTAACCATTGATTTCCATGACTCACGAACTTAACTCAAAAATTATAATTTACCGTACACACACAAATAATACTGCCTAGACAAGTTATTTCACAGAAAATATTGAAATATGTATAAACAGATAACAATGGGGTACAATAGGTACAACAATGAACTAATACAAACTCAAAACCCATAAACTAAGACAACTGTATAAATTGAAATTGTCGTACATTTGTGAAAAGTTCGGAAAAATGCTACAATAGTCGCGGTTACAGCCGACTATTGAAAGGTCCCCTGAAATCCATCCATTATTGGGGATTTCCATGACTTTCCATGACTTTTTGCCTATTTCCATGACTTTCAATGACCATAATTTTTTTCCATGACTTTCCATGACTATCCCTGACTTTCCAGAATGTGGACACCCTGAGCAGAGTACCCGTCCTTCGTACGGGGTTGGCATGTGAGTATAAAATGTTTATTACAGTTATACTCAAGCTTTGCGTTTGCAATGAGGGAGGGCACGTTTTGATAAAATTTGCTTCTTTAAATTTACAGTATTCTATAGTATTACACATCTACCATAGCCATAATGTTCTACCACTTCACCTAAACAATAGAGAAAATAAATTATTAAAAATTCTCAAAATATCACAAATTATTCATGAAATTAACATAAACATAACTGTAAACAATCCTACTTTGACAGCTCATTGCGTATCACAGTTTTTTGTTGCTGCTTAGTTCAAATTCATAAATGCAAAAATATATAAGCCTAGTGCTGCACCCTGTTGGTAAATCTTATAACTTTTTATTGCTTTTGCATATCATAGAACCAACTTTTTTAGTTGAACAGAAATTTTGGTTGGATTTTAAGGCAAAGATGAGTGAAGAAAGTGTGTTAGTTGAAGTGATTTTTTTTTGTCTCACCTTCACGTTCATTTTTCAAATTACTCCAGGCTAGGTCAAAAGCAAAACGTTGCAAAATTATCACTTAGAAAAAATTCATTGGTGATTGCTGGGAGTTGAACCTAGGACATTGCAGACTAAGTCCTGGGCTCTACCACTAGACCAGCTTGCTCCCTGAAGCAGCGTATGCATGAGGCCAGCCAGGTTACCTGCCCCTAGTGTATTTACCTGTGGCAGGTAATCTGCCTGCTAACTTGGCTCTGTGTAGACACGGCTTTAGAGTTAAATGAATGAGATGACAGCTTTTGCAACAGAAAAAGGTCAGTTGGTTCTTTAGCGGGACGTTTCTTAAGTTCCCGAGGATCAAGAAGAGCTTGGTCCAGTTTTAAACTATCAAAAAACTTCTTACATTTTTCAGAATGAAACTGGTGACCCTCTGTTTGCTAGGCCTCACCTTAGCGAAGGTGCCGCTAGGTCTGGCCACAGCTACAGACTGTGTGTGTCCCCACTCCCACATCTGCACTGACCCGTCCTGTGCTCCTGTCAGGTCTGACAACAAGTACATAGATTAGTTAAATAACACTCATCATTGTAACATTCCCAATGGGGTTGAATATAGACTGTTAAATGGAACAACTTTCATTCAGATTGTCTAAGCTTTGGTATATCCGTTATTGTTTCCGTTGTAGTAGAGGAGTCAAAAAATCATAATGTCCTGGTCAACTCAAATTCTTCAAGAAGAACTGGTAATATTGGAATTAATATAAATTTGAAATAACAACTTCACCAATATTTCTGAATTTTTAATTTTATGAGGCCTTTTGCCAGCTATGCTGGCATCATCAGACACATCACAAAACTCATAGACACAAAACAATTACATTAAGAGTTTTGTGATGTGTCTGATGATGCCAGCATAGCTGGCGAAAGGCCTCATAAAATTAGAAATTCAGAAATATTGGTGAAGTTGTTATTTCAAATTTATATAACTCAAATTCTTTTTTGAATTTACATTTGTTAGCACAACTGTGACACAGATTACAATCTCCTGAAATTTTGACCAAGCAAAATATTAAAATAATTTTTTTTAGAATTAGTAAACCATATTTTTATTGTTTTTAAATTTGGAAACCATCAAATAAAAGTATTGTGTACATGATTTCAAAATTAAAATAAATGACAGTTTGATAACTTTTCAAAACTGTATTTTCAAGTGAAACAAATTTGTTATCTGCTAATAAATCATGAGTACAAACTAATTAAACTTGAAACTAATGAACTTGAGACTGATAAAACAAAATTAAACGTTTTTGAAGGTCAGAGTTTCTATTAATCTCTTTTTATGAACCAAAAAGAATTTTGATTTCTCTTTAGCATGTGGAATTTTGTAACAACTCATGAGATAATGTAAACACATAGGTATAATTAAATCGCCGAATGAACATAACTGATTAGATTTGTAACTTACACAGAGGAAGTAGAGGATGAGCACTGATTCTTCTGATGTTGTCCACTCGATGTTTTAACACCTAACAGCCAACAAACCGTACAAGTTAGCATAATGTAATGTAATTCTGCCTATCCTGAATAAATTTGCTGTAAAACAATATGTGAATTTAACTGGAAGGAAAATTGATATCGAAGCAGCTGTTGATATGAAAAAGATATGTAAATTAAATTAATTTACAGTAGAACCCCTCATATCCGGCCTTGGTTTTACCGGTCCTCTGTTTATCCGGCCCCTTCCAGGAAGCCAATATCAAAATGTTTTTCTCACAGCTTACGGACATTTAGAGATGCAAGCACTAGTCTTTGTGACTGCTCAAGTCATCAAATAAATTGTTCTCACTATTTATCTGTTTATACATTTTTTGCTGTGTCACTATACTAAGTTGAGCTAGTAGGCCTAACCTTTGATCAGTTGGTTGATTATTTCCAAAGTAGGGTTAGTACAGTACAGTATATTATTAATTTTTGTATTTTACAAAATGGATAAAAATGTTGAGTTAGAATCACATTCTGTGGTTGAAATGCATGTACCATTTAAGTCCTAATGATTTTCAAGTCCAATTTATAGTCATTTTTACCTTCATTAATAGTATTTGTTGCCTGGAATCATAATATTTGTACGTTCTTCATTACTTAACCATTTTAACCTACAAATATGTTTTTCTTTTACAAACATGTTTATTTTTTTTTTAATAATCCCAGAACAGACTGGAATGAGACTTTTCACTGCATATATTGATTACCTATTGTTATAACTGGTATGAGTTATCATTTTCATTGTAGGTTGGTTTATCCAGCCAAATCGTTATCCGGCCAGGGGCTTGGTCCCGTGGTGGCCGGTTATGAGGGGTTCTACTGTATTAAAACTTGATAGAACTCAGTTTTAATCATTAGCTGAAATTTTTAACTGCCCGTGACAACTTATTATAAAAACTTGTTTATTCGGAAAATTGTGATGAAGCAGTTTTTACTATGAATGGTTCCCGCAATGGCAATCAGTGTACACGTTTTATAGGAAAATCTTATATTTTGAAAACCAAAATCTTTAAATACATCCTTAATTTTGTATAGTTGAAAATATTTACCAGGTTATATTTTTACTATAAACCCTTACCCTCTGTACTCAAACTAAAATTCAAAAGAATAAAAATCCACATTTAATTTTTGAGACAAATGACTTAAGAGCCATAACATTTTCATGTCATAAGCGTCCTATACTATCAAATTAAATTTGTAACATCACAAATACTACAAACAACTTATACATTAACTATACATTATGTTATGGCTAAACAAAACTTTTGTTATGGTTCTAAAAAACTAATCATTATAGCTCCAGCTAAGGAAGAGAATTAGTTACATTAAGCCCAACATTCTTACATTTTGTGGCAGTTATAACCACCTACACTATAACTAGAAAAAAGTAATCAAACCCTTGAAATATAAAGAGAACCAAACATAGTTAGTATACTATATGTTAAACTAAAAAAATGTTAAAATACTATGTACAAACATACTTACAAACACGAAATAGGAATACAAAATAAAACTAATTAATTTGCAGCAGAAACTATAGGTACAATAAACAGAATAAAAAAAAATTATACATACACAATTTACAAAATATTAACACCAATGGATAATTTTACATGGAAGCAAAGTAATCATAAGAATAAACTATACAAGGACAAAATTAATATGACTGCATAAAATTGAACTATAAAGGGCAGCTAATGAAAATTGTTTTAAACCTAAGACATGGGGAAGAATGAGTGGTAAAGAAATGTAAATGACACAATATAGTGTAACGGTAGGCACGAGTGATGTACGAGTGAACAATTATAGTAAATTCTGTTTGTGTTGAGTGTCTGTTAGTTAGGCACTGAAGCAGTAGTGATACTAATTAATTTTAACAATTGCTTGAGTAATGGACCATAGTTTCCTTACGATGAGACAAAGTTTGGAAGCAAATAGCATAGAAAGCTGTGCTGGGGTAAAAACAACAACAGACTGAAACAGAGGCAAACCCTTTTATAACTAAAACAAGCTATGATTGCAAATTGTAATGCAATAACTTCTTACAAGGACTATAGTTTTGTACATCCAAATAGGAATGCAGTAAGAAGTAATTTAATTTATATTAATTTCACAACTATTATTGTGTTATGTACCTACTGTAGTTTTTATAATCACAGTATTTTTGAAATCCACAACAAATAATTCATTCGGTTTGATTTTCTTGATGGATGTAATTTATTTTTGTTAGGGTGTTCAATACAGTTAAAACAGCCTGCGTAAGAAAAATGTTGGCAAAGGTATTAAATTAATGTTGGTATCTTTAGCTTTAAATTACCAATTGCTTAAAAGCTAGCTTTGGAACATAAAAAACAAATAGGCTACAGTATTTTTACTGTAAAGTAAAGAAATATTTACACTAACACTCATCATTGTGAACATTTCATCCTACTTGCTTGGTTTTTATGGGTGAAAGAATTTCATCTTGATTAAAATATAATAAAATCAAACTTTTTGGAAACATCTAACCACAAGCAACAATACTATCTATGTTTAACTAGCTTTTACACACATTTTTTTACAAGAATTTTAAAACTAATTAAAAAAGCTGTTTACAAAGATCAAACTAGAAAATTGTACCGAATCAGCAGTAATGTTGTTTCTGTCAAAATCTACATATGCCTGTTATTTTAGGTTAGTATGATAAAATTTGCGTAATCAACACTTTGTACAGAGCATCCAAAATACAGCGCGACTCAACAATTATGAAAATCAGCCGCAAACGTTGATTGAGCCAGCTTAGCAATTTGGCGAGAAGAGCAGCGAAAGAATCAATAGAAAAATACCTTTAGTCGGATCATATAAGTGATATCCCCTTCAGTCTCAAAAGACATAACAACACGATCACTGCAAATACCATTCTCTGATTGGAGAGGAACTCCCTGTTGTGAACAACATACGTTAGTCTTGAAACGTAGAATAATATTCCGACACTTTGGGAAATTACCAAGCTAAGTTTTGCTCAGAAAATATTTTTGCTATGAATATTAAAAGATTATAGCACTTAAACGTATATCGCTTACACTACAAGGCTTCCAAAGATCAAAGTATCAAATGTTGGTCTTCAGGAGATGGCCACCAAGTATTTTGCCACTTCAACGATCAAGATTTTATTGTTAATATTACTCAACATTGTCTTGAATAATCTAAATATATACCAAATTAAAAGATAATGGGGGTACAATCTTTGGAATACCATACGCTAAAAATAAGTAGAGAGAGTTTTGACTACAAACCCAAATAATTATTATAAAGTATTGTTTGCCTCTACTTCAAAGCAAAAAACAGAAAGCCCTTATAACATCACAAATGGAAATCATATGTGTTTTTCTGGGTAGGTAAAAGAACTTTTATAAAAACCAAACCTCATTAAAGGAGAATCTTTGTCAAAGTAACCTTTGTACTGAGAAAAGTTTCAAAATCAACATTAAAAAGTATAATTTCTGATAATGAATGGACTACAAGTTCAAGTTAATTAATGTGTTTAACAAGATGTAAGTGTAAAAGTATTCCCAATAGCCTATGTTTGGATACATGTAGCCAATTTTCCTAGAAAATCTTCCACATCAAATATTCCACTCAATCTATATTGAACAAACACAAGTTTGAAGGGTTTACAGATTGATTGCAAAGCGGACAAAGCATCAAAGAATAAAAATGTTGGAAAAAGCTGAAGGGTAATAATCATGCAACAATTCTCACCGGCTTGAGTAAGTGATGACTGCGGTCAATGACCAACTGACAGAAAGCTGGGTCGTGCGACCCTGGGAAGGTCAAACCCTTCATCTGATTGCAGCAGACAGACAGACAAGCAGGGTGAGAAATGGTCTCAACACTCACCATTAAGTAACAATTGATTACAAAACTTTGGTAGGATTTAAATTTGTAAGTAATCACGCACATTGAGAATGACAGTAGAGCCAAAGACCATTTCCACCGTTGAATTGTTTAGTGTCGTAAAACCTGTTTTAGTGAGTTGACAAACACGAGCTCAAAGCTGAAAAGAAGGCTGCAAACATGCCACAGGCAATATCCAAAGTATTTATAGACTCATCATTTATAGAGATTTTCCTTTTAGGATTACTTGTTTTAAATTACCTTCTCTGTGGATGATTTTGGATATAATAGAAAAATCGAAAAATCATAATGTTTTAGTCTTGAAATCAGTTGCCAATGGGCAATATGTGGTTCATGACAAAAGAATAAATCTAAACCATAGATTAACTATGGAATCATATTCAAATTTACACAAGAACATTATTTTGTTTCCATTAATCAACAAATTAATTGTATTGACTAATTAATTTACTATCAATTTAGTACTTGGTTAAACATATATAAATATTAGTCATTTTAACATAACTACTTTGATATCTTTTGCCTGTAACATATTTTTCTTCAAAGTGTTAGTGTTAGTGACACAAGCAAAAAAGTCCAGCCCACAACATAAGTTAAAACTGCCCCAATATTCTTGGTTGAAATGTACTTTGTCAATAAGTAACAATAAGTAAGTCCAGTAATGTTGTCGAAGTTATGTAAGAAGAGAAAAGAAAAAAGTGGACAGAAGTTGAAGAAAGATGATTAACTCTTGATTTTACAAAACTGTTTACGAATCTACTTTTGAGATGATTGAATTCAGGTGACTCACCAAAAACTTATAAAAAAAGCAGTGCTCTGCCTTACAAATTATTTACTGTTAAAAATAGTTCTTTCAAATTACTTTTAGTAATTTACAAAAACCTAAAAAACCGTGCACATAAAAATTTTTGAAGTTGAGATAAATAAACTCCGAAAGGATCATTAAGAGAAACATTTATCACAAAAAGTTTTAAGTCAGCCTGAATTCATTGTATAAAACTTCAGTTTCAAAAATATTTACCATAGAGCTTATTCACTCGCAACCTCAGTATTTTCTACTGGTTTACAAAGTGCAAGTCAACCAAGCACAGTGAGACACACGGACAGAGGAGCAAGAATCTCAAACTTTACTCAACAGCTGATTTGCTCTTACCAGCTGAGCCTTCCCCCCTCCCTTGAGGCTCCCCCCTCCACCCCCCACGGCCGCGTCCTGACACGTCTTCACCTGCTCAACAACCACAAAGTAAACAACCGGAGCCCACACAAAGTAATGGCTCCAACAAACCCCTGCAAAAACCACCCCTGGATCTTTGTTGAGATTATAAAAACAATCTCATGCAAATGCTGAGACGATTTTATTGTTGAATCAAAAAGGTATTCAGACCATTAATAACCTTTTTTAGGCTAGGATCTAAACTAATCAACTAGTCATTAACAACTTTTATGTTGAAGGTCATTGACACTTTACCAGCCATGAGATTTTCCCAGTTCTTTGCAGCATCAAAACCATTGCTATTAAACAGTTTGATACCTTTGATAGCAGTCAATTGGAGTTGTACTTACAGTAAAAATTGGAGATAGTAATTATTTATAAATTAAATTTATTAATAGTTATACAAATATTTCCCACTTCATTGTATTTTAATTACAATTTGGGTTAAAACAAAGCGCAAGTCATTAAATTTTCAAAACTAACTTGTATTATTTTAGTTTTTCACTTAAAAGATATTTTTTTAATGTAACGTTTAAAAAATAATGGGCATTTTCGGCTTATTGTCCAACAGAACTTTAAACCATTTAGAACTTAGATACAGCCTACAACTTAGAGCATATCTAGAGATTGGATGTTAAGTTTAGTCTCAAGATTCCAGAAGTGGTTTTATGCGGTTTTTGTGCATGGTTATAGAACATGCTTTAGTGTACTGAAGACAAATCACCATGGTAGTTTCAAGTTTGTGTTGCTTATAGATCTGAAATCAAATTTTTAATCAAGACAAAGCATTAGCGAATTAGACTAAACATAACTTGTGTAAAGTTGAAGCACATTGTCAATAAAACTGTTCAAAGAATGTACAGTATGTACCGTATTAAAAATTTATTTTCTAATAGTGATTTTTTTTTAAAGCTAATTAATTTGTGTAAATACTTTTACCCTAATCTTGGTGTCGTCATAAGGCAACTACTCAAGTACCGTTCTAGTACTATTCAACATTTATTTTAGTTGTCCTAAGGGTATAAGAAGTCTCGAGTCATCAATAAAGATAACAAATAGTTAATTTTCACACCCACACAGGATTATAACAAATATCAACAAAAAAATTAAAAACCAACATAAAACCCCAAGAGCAGAGGGAAAAAGTTGGTGGAAGTGCAGTCCAGACCAGTTTTTATGAAACTTGTTTTACAAATCGTTGCTATTTTGGCTATACCCTGGAATGTAATCCTTCCTGAATCCCCTTTGAAAGCAGGTCTTTGCAGTAGATAAGACAAATGTTGTAAAAAATATAGTTGTTGATTTGACAGGTAATGAATCATAATGGACCCATCCAACTTCAAAGAAAAAGACTCAGTAATGTCAAAGTGCAATCTAGGCCAAAGAGAACAATTTCAATAATGCAATTTTTATTTGTCTCCGCTTACCTATATTGGAAATAAGGAAAGGTATCAAAAACTTTTTGCAAGCTTAAACAGGTCTATCCAATGGATCACTTAAAACAAAACACGAGTCAACTGGGTGTTCAAAAAAGGTGGGGACATAATTTACGTAGTGATTTCTCGGGTCAAAATAAAGAGAAAATCAAGAGTAAAATTTTTCCAAGATCGCTTTGTTGACCAGATATTGCGATTTTGTTTTTTTTACATAACAATTTTTATCTTTGAATTTATTTAACCGATCTTTTAACTTTATTTAACTTGATATGTATGTTAAGGTAGAAGAGACTCAAGCTTAAAAAAATCATCTTCATTCAACTAAAAATTTCAAAATGGTGGCCATTTTAATGTTTTAAACTTAAATTACTAAAAAAGGCTGATTATATGAAATAATGTCAAGAACACTTTTATTTAGCAATATAAGTTTAAAACATTAATATTGCTGCCGTTTTGAAATTTTTATTTGAATGAAGATGAACTTTTTGCTAACACGAGTCTCTTCTTTTTCTACCTTAACATACATACCAACTTTCATAAAGATCGGTTGAAAAAATGTTTATGTAAAAAATACAAAATGGCGGATATCTGGTTAACGAAGTGATTCTGGAAAAAATGTTATTCTTGATTATCTCTTTATTTTGACCCAAGGAATCACTACGTAAATTATGTCCCCACCTTTTCCGAACACCCTTTATAGTGTAGGCTAATAAACAACACCAAAAATTGAGATCAGATAATCCAAATGCATTAACCAGGGAATATTACTACTACCCAGACACAAAAAAATCTACAGGCTGAAAACAACACTTAACCCATTACGTTTGTTTAAACCAACAAACACAAAACATATAGACTCACTGAATTAATTATTAACTTATCTCCTCAACACTAAACTTCTACGATTAAGCTTATACTTGAATTTTTATTGAACGATTGATAACCATGCTAAGCCGGTGTTCACCGGTGTTCTAAGCATTATTCATGCATGCTTCGAGTGCTTTGAGCACAAAACATGCAAAGTTATGTTACATTGTGCTGGGGTATCTGATGATGTTGTAATATGGAATAGTTTTATGAAATGTATATTTCCAAAGTTGTTTTGTTTTACGCTTGAAAACTAAGGGCAGGGTGAGAAAACTTATAATATATTGTACGTTAACTAACAGTAGTTCTCCTGGTTTGTCGTGTTGTACTCACCACTGAAGCGCCTCGCCCAGTTTGCCCTGCTAGACCACCCTGAGGACTCATCGCTTGGTTAGGATTGGCTGCAGGATTCTGCATCGGTTTATCATTGGGCGTCTGAATCACAAGGAACCCGCTCGATGGTAGCAGCTCAGGTTCCCTGGTGAGAGAAATGGGCTTTTAACTGTTGCAAATTTTCAAATTATTACCAAACAATCTTTTTTTTGTATAATTTTTGGACTAGTTGTTAGTGAAACAGACAACAATATTTGTGCAGGGTGAGTATTACGTGGAGAGTATTATGTGTTAAATACAAGAATAAAATGTGGTTCGGACTCCACTATAAACTGTAGGTCCCTTAGTTGCCATTGGCTGTATGCCCATACAGACTCCTTAGCTCCTTAGACTCAGCTGTTAATTAATGGCCCCATTAATTAACAGCTGAGTCTAAGAAACATGTCGGCCTTAGTCACTAACAAGACTACAAGATCGCACCACTTATCCTACACTCATCCTTCACTCATATCCGGGTTAAAATACACACATAGTGGCGTAATTGAAGTAATTGATTGAGAGATATTTTTTTTTTTAGATTAAAAATAATCATTACCCCAGCAAAATGCTACTGAATTTTACACGCTTTAATTTGGTGATTTTCTGATCATGCAAGCACTATAACCACTCAGCAATACAAAGGCTTAACAATACAAATGTATCTGGATTTGTTTTTAATCATCTTATTTTGGTATCTTGATTAGGTCTGAAATCGGAATTACATCTGGAGTCTCAAATCAAAGAGAGAGAAAGAAGAGAGGAGAATCAAAGTCAATCTACATATCATTGAACCTACATTGGATGTAGACAACATTGGCCCATTACTGATGAACAACTTACTTGTTGAGGCTCATGAGGTCCAGCTCACACTCGTCCTCTAGCCAGGAAGGCATCTCCAGCAGTAGAGAGATGTCCATCTCCTGTACCTCCCGAGGTGTGGCAAGAGCTAGCAGTCCCCCATTCACCTGTCGAAAGTCAAAGTCTTGCACATATTACATCTTTAAATGGACAATGTACATTAATTCAAGTTTTGTCCATAGATGAATCACAATGTAACACAATGTTCATTTCAAATAAAAAAAAAACAAAAAAAAACTTTACTAAAAAAATGAAAGAACCTTAAAATAAATATGTACAATTAAAAAATAAATTTAAGCTTACAAATGGAAGAAGGAACACAAATCTGGTTGGTTATTAGCAAAATATAATATAAATATATACTGCAGAAAATATTATTTTAACAACGAAAAACAGAGAATTGTTGTTTTATTTGCATCATTCACTTATTAATCATCAAGGAAAAAATCTTCAATGCAGTAATAAGACCTTATCAGGGCTGTGCGAATCCAGAAATTTTGGTTCGAATCCGAATCCGAATCATAGCTGTACATATTTTATCGAATCCGGATCGAATCCGAATATTTTAATTAATCCCGAGTCGAATCTGGGTCGAATCCGAATCTCAAATTTACAGCCATTATCGAACCCGGATCGAATCCGAATCTGAAATTTAAAGCTGTTATCGAATCCGAATATTTAAACCTGTTCAGAGTCAAATCCGAATCCGAGGAAAGTCAGCAGTACCAATTTTCACATTTTTAGACCACATTTTCTGGGGCTGAAATAACTTAGGGAATTGCTTAAAAAAATTCTTTAAATGGGCCAAATAAAAAAGTTATAAAATTTAGGCCTACCTATTTGAAGTTTTGAAACTAAAAAATTGGGCATTAGTTAGGCCTACCACCTAGGCCTAAGTTACTCGCTAAAAGTGATGGACTACCAATTTGTGTAGTCTAAAACATAGGCCCAGCCTATTATACACTTCGGTGTTCATCCTCCAAACAAGCCTATGTCTGCATTACTATTACAAGTAACAACTAACACTGTGAGGTTAAGTTTACTGATAGCCAAGATAGGGTTCAAATGCGACCTAACACTAATGTGCCTAAAGCCTAACACCAAGTTGGTCAGGTTCCTAACATGAACCAGTCAACAGCAAATCGGAGTGCACAAGTAGTTTTTTAGTGTCTAAAAAATTATATTGAAAATTATATTCAATCAGAATCTAGTAAATTTGAATATCGAATCCCAACTCGGATCTATTTCCAAGAAATTCGAATATCGAATCCGAACCCGGATCTCTTACCAGTAAATTTGAATATCGATTCCGAATCCGAATCCAGTTAGAAACAGTAGATTCATTCTCGAATCCGAATCGAATCTTTAAAAAGATTCGGATTCGATTCGTTTTTCGAACTATTCGCACAGCCCTGGACCTTATCGATAACAAATTCGTGATTTTTTTATATTGTTGAAGGTAGGTTTCTTGGTTATCACTTTTTGAACTATAGTTTTAAAAACTTTTATCTCGTGTAGGTTGTTCTGTTTACATACAGAATATGAAAATACTCTACTGATCTCCGGTACTATCAATAAAAATAAAAATATACTAGAATGATTGGGAGGAGGTAAACTGGAGCCTTTGGCTGGCGCGCCAGTGAGGTCGTGGTGCGAAATGTTTGCCTTGACTGTAAAATTACTGTACTCTTTCTTACCCTACCTTATTCCAACACGCTTGGTAAAACCAAAGTTTGAATCACTACTGTAGCCTTTACAGTCTAACCTTGATATAACGAACCTCGATATAACGAATTCCTTGATATAACAAATTTTTTTCAATCCCCTAGAACTCTCCATAAGACACAATGTATATTTTACCTCTACATAACGAACAAACCATAACAAAGACCTTGATTTAACAAATTTTTCGTGATTTCGGCTAAAATAAGACAACTCAATATAGCGAATTTATCATTGTCAGAACCTCTACATTGCGAATTTAACCTCTACATAACGAATTGTCTACGTCTTTCCCTCGATATAACAAATCCCCCACCCAATTATTGTTTTGGGAAAATCTGTTTCTTTATCAAATGAAATAGAAAGGTCACGTCATCGCTTGCGCTAACATTCGTCTGCTCCGTTTTACATCTTTGTCTGCTGTCGCTGCGCGCGCTATGTTGCAACTTGCAACTGAGAACTGATTTCATTCACTGAGGGAGGACTGAAGACGACGTAATGTTTAGTAAGCTGTGATTGGGCGATACGGGATAACTATGGTGAATTGTACAATTTTTGGATAAAGAGAAACCTAAGAAAGAATATAAAAACAAAACCAAAGAGAAAGAATAGCAACATCGTTATTTTAACATTCCTTTAACGAGTTTTTTTATTATCCTTAATTTGGCTATGATTATACACTTTTATGGTTATTATTGACATTCCTCTGTTGTGATAAATCAGTACTGTAATGTAAGTAGCCTACCGGCCTATCGCGAGCAGTAGCTTACTAAACTCTACTGTAGGCCTATTGTTTTGTTCTTTACGTGGTTTATGACTACGCAATACAGCGTTTGGCTAGGTTTTAGGAGGGTTAGAACAAGCTGTGATTTTAAACTTACAGTTTTTAACCTGTACCAAGGTCAATGCCATTGTCATGATTGCGCAATATTCAAGATCCCTCACCTTTATTATGCCGGATAATTTAGGTTCTACTGTACAATGTAAACACTACTGTAAAGTATTGAAGCCTATGCTACTTTAATTGTATTTTAATGAGGTCAAATCCCGACCTATATTGACCGACGCTGGTTCTGAACCTCGACTTAGCGAAATTCCTGCAAACCTAACCTCTATATAACGAACCTCGTTTTAACAAAATCCTTGATATAACGAATATTCAGTTCGGTTCCTTCAGATTCGTTATACTGAGGTTGGACTGTATATGATATGGGGTGCAAGTAATGTTTTCTGAGGTCAGCTACTAGGTCTCAAAGTTAGGTTTGGTTAGGTTAGGTTAGGTTAGAGTAGGTTAGGAATACCAATGTTTTAATTGGATCCTCAGCTTTGAACTCAAAAGAAAATCAAATATGATAACGCACTTTATGTTAATTTCCGTAGTGGTACAACTTTAAGCGGTGTTTAATTTTTCATGAGATTTACTTTCTAAAGATAATTTGTGGAATAGTGTTTTGATAACTGAATGGGTTGCTGTAATTTATTAAAAGTATGTTACCTCAAATTAATACTTACACTTCATTACACAATTTAACTCTAACTAGTCGCTGAATCTCAATTGATCAGTGAATATAAATCAAATGTATATAATACGCAGCACGAAGGGATTAGGCCTAATAAAAAGAGTAGAGTCAAGGCAAAAACTTCGCACCACAACCTCCCAGTGCGTCAGCCAAGGGGGAGCACTTTACCTACACCCAAGTGATTGTGTTGGTGACATAACTGTACCAATTTACTGTACTGTAGAAATATGAAGCATCCCTTATGTAGGGAGTACTACCTAGATTTATTTTCAAGGGTTTAAATAAGCAAGGATATTTAGTTCCGAGGTAAAATAGGTGAAATCCAACTATTAAATAACCCGTCTAGAACAAAAAGTGTCATTATCGTTTCCCAAACATACAAAAATTGTTTACAACTGCTAGGTCAACTCACGTTGTTGAGACAGAAGGCAGTGATAGAGTCCTGCTCCTTGTGTATGATCCTGACAGGCTCGGGTAGATGCACGTCCTGTCCCACACGATCCGTCACATCCAAAATGCTTGGTGGACTGCGTCGCTTGCCAAACACGCACCGGATGAACAACTCTTGTACCGGCTCCTGGCGCACCAGGAAACTCCACAGTCGACGTGCCGGTGCAGCAGACCAGTGCCGGGGGCTGTAACATGTATTAGTATAATTTTGTGGTTTTGCTACACGATATGTTAAAATTCTCCTCAATGTATTATCAAGTTATGTAGTGTATTGAGCTTCCTCAACCACATAAAACAAATTAAATAAATACAATCTAAACTAATTGTTCATTATGGTATTATAACCTTTGGATCACCAATAAATATTGATGACCAATAAGTAGTCCCTCAAGTTGAATTAAGTACCAGTTTTCCAGTGCTAGATTGGTGACATTCTCGGGATGTACAAGAACATTTATATGAATATATCTAAAGAATTGAAGTTGACTACAATAGTCACACATATGTGTACAACCTAAGGATGGCACCAATTCAGCACTGAAACTAGTTGCTTAGTGTAATTTTAAGGATTACAATAATCAGGTATTTACACATCAAAATGTGAAAGTTTGTGTGTTTGTTTGAAGTTCAATCACGCAATAACTACTGGACGGATTGAGCTGAAATTTAGCATGATGATAGCTCACATTCCCGATTAACCGAAAATCGGGAAGGAAATAAAAATCCCGTCCCGTCCCGTCCCGAACTAAAAGTTCAATCCCGTCCATCCCTATTAAAAAGTTATAAGATTTACCAAAAGGGTACAGCACTATTATTATTTTGCATTTATGAAAACGGCTAATTTGAACTAAGCAGCAACAAAAAACTGTGATACGCAATGAGAACTGTCAAAGTAGGATTATTTACAGTTATGTTTATGTTTTTATTTTATGAATAATTTGTGATATTTTGCGAATTTTTATATAATTTATTTTTCTCTATAATTTAGGTGAAGTGGTAAAACATTATGGCTATGGTAGTTGTGTAATACTATAGTATACTGTAAATTTGAAGAAGAAATTTTATCGAACTGTGTCCTCCCCCATTGCAAGCGCAAAGCTTGAGTAGGCCTATCTACAACTGCAATAAGCATTTTATACTTATATGCCAACCCCGTACGAAGGACGGGTACTCTGCTAGTCTATATATAAAGCCAAAAGTACCCATGAACTTTTGGGAAAACTACAAGTCACACCCCCATAAACCATATACTTAAAATGTTCATCATGGCGAGAAACCTTGCGCAACACTATCCATTATTTCATAAATTGCGCTTTAAGGTCGTAGTTCCTTTCTAAAGGGAACTTTCCATATACCTATACCTAATGTTAAAATACCTCAGCTGTACTTATTATTTTGTATTATTCTTTTTTGTTTATTTCAGCTCAACCTAACCAATCAATAATGTTATTAATACTTATGAAGTCAAACGGGGTGAAGCCAGTGGGTAACAGCTAGTTTTTGAATAAAATCGGACAGCTTTATGCTATTTTATATGAGCATACATACATAAATTTCAAAACATTGGTATTGTTTACTTAACAGTCAGATTGTAAGTTCATGGAGCACACAAGACAATAGAACTTCCAAGTTTTACTCTTTGATAACAAACGCTAGCGTTTGCATCATTAATGAAAGATTGGCATCGAGTCCTTCAATTACGAATTTCCATACCAGCACTGAATGTAAAGTTACAAACGATTTAATTTGAATCCTTATTGTATTAATTTTGTCATTTTAACTTTTAAATACAAATTAAAATAGCAGTAACTGAGAAAATTATGAGCTTTTAACTATTAAAAACCCCTACTTTGTAGAAGAAAAGTTTTAAAGTCCTAGCATGAATATTGAATAGGTAGCAATACTAGCAATATGAAATAAGACAATACACTCAATGATTTATGGCAAGACATTATGATACAAAAAACCAAATTCTAAAATTAGCGTATGACCAAACTAAAATGAAACTAGTTTTAGGAAGGAACAAAAATGACAATGAATAGTGACAATAATGATGAAATCATGATTGATTAATGTATCACACATGAGCAGAATGTGTGTAAGGCTTGAAACAAAAACTATGAAACACAACTAAATCACAGTACACAACATTCCATAACAATGAAGTTGAATGAGTGATAACTGTATTAATTGTGTACTTTGAAAACAATAAGACAAAAAATAAACATAAATCCTTCCCAAACATTAAAAATGGTCAAATAATTATTACAAAACATATTTGCTGCAAAAAAGAACCATAGAGTGTATAGTTCTAGTGTCTGGATTAGTATACTTACTTGATTGAAAGTTTTTTTTACTCCATTGCACTTGAACATAATATAAAGTAACATTTTTTGTGCTTATCTCTAAAAAAAAATTATTCATAACAATTTTTTTACCAAAAGGATTATTTGATACAAAAATGTTCACTCATTAAAAAAACATAACCACACATCGATATTCACAGTACCAAGTGTGAATATTTTCCAAACAATCTCAAAAAGACTTACCTAACAAAAAGGGGAATAATGCATTTTTCTTTTGGCGAATGAACTCTAAAAAAAACATTTGTTACTTTGCAAACTATACAACTACAGCATACGTATTAAGCCTGAATAAGGAGTCTACTCCAACCAAATCAATAATATAGAATCTGAATGGATGTTTAAAATAAATTTGACCAAAGACCATCTAAAAAACTCACCATTTGACAGAAGGGTCTGTATCAAGATCACTAGAGTAAAGAGTAAATGTGAATTATAAAAGAATAATTAAATATATAGCTAAGTTTACAAAATTAAGGTTTTGTGCTGGATGAACTGTGTGGTATATTGCAAGATATAATATAATTGAAGATCCTTAATTTAAGGAACATAAAATAAAAGAGCGGACAATTATCTGGTTTAAAAAGTCACAAGTATACCGGGACATGGACTACAAATTTCACTATTCCTTCACTGGAGGAATTTGTAATTGACTAAAAAATAATGTGTAGATAATACTGGATTAATATTGTTTTTTTTTCAGTCTTTCCTCCAAATGCTGAAAATGGATTTGAGTGGCCACATAGGTAAGGTAGGTTAAGTCCTTCAAATTTTAGGATGCTAAGCTCAAGCCCGAAACTGTTTTAAACATTACTTTGGCTAGGCCTAGAGGACAACAGCTTAAAAACATAGCTGAAACCATAGGTGATTGGCACGACTTGATCCAGGCACCTCAGGGATAGAAGCCCACGATTTACCGATATATGTGATAATAAAGGTAAATCAGTAATTTGTTTCCTTCTCTGATAAGACTAGACTGCGTTATTTAAGAGATTATGCAGACGAAGCTTAACAATTTTTACGTGAACAATATGTTCTCATCATACTATGTAGAAAGAGCGAAAAAGTAAAAACACACTGAGAACTGTACAATTGTCAAACATAAGTAAAAACAATAGTCAATGGTAAAAACAAAATCTTTAAAAAAATGACAAATGATACTAGTGCAGAGTATAAATTGTGTTATCCTAAATTTGTGTGTTACCATTTGTTTTTTTTTAAAGCTTATGTTTGACCACTATGTACAGTTGTCTATGTAATATTTTATTGTTATGTTCCAGCTTTGGCTGGTTTTGTGTGCTCATATTGTTACGTGCCCAAAGCTTACATTTCAGATCGTAAACATTGTAACCTTGTTTTTTTAGAAAATGTGTGCAATAATCTCTTGAATATGACTAGGCTAGTGAGAGGTGGGAGGTGGGAGGTGGTATATACTGACTGGAAGGGTGTGTTGTTCTTGTCCAGTAGTGAGCGGTACTTGTTGATGGGTGGCCCAGTAGTTGCAGTCTCTACGTAGCAGCCAGGTATGTAGTCTGCTGGGGGAGGACCTCTAGACTCCAGCTCTGACTTGAGCACCTCCTCCCACTGACTGACAACCCGCAACACACCGTGGATCAGAGGAGAACTCACCGGCAACTCTGTGAACAAACAATAAACTTACACATTGGCACTGAGCTATACATTGAATAAGAAAGGGATACACAGTTTCAGGTAGTTGACAGCACACAAAATGTTCACAGCACAATTAAATTGATATTTCACCCTTACACAGAGGCTTCATCAGAAAAGGAAGTAGTAGAGTTGCACTTAAAAGACTGTCTACAAAATTGAGTGCAAACTCTTTGTGTGCTTTTAATTGCCTGGAACTCTTTTCTTGGGTCATTTAGTTTAGCATCCATTCCTCCACTACTCAATGTATTGATAAACTTGTGTTTAAGGGAAATAGTTATTTGTGCAACTAGTGAGAAAAGTGAGCAATTGACTCACTCGAGAGAAACCCTTACTCACGAGCCGTAGGCGAGTGAGGAATGGTTTCTCGAGTGAGGCAATTGTACTTTGCACTCGAGTTGCACATTATACTTTTCCTACAGTTACCATAAAACAAATAAATTTGTGAAGAAACATAACCTTATTTTTCACAGAAGTGAACTTTTAATATAACATTTAATGTGAAGTTACAAATACAACAGTACAACAGCTGACCAGCTGATTTACAGCCAGTGCTGGCAACGTATTTCGCGCGCATACGACGTTGCCTGCATGTTACGCGCTCACTATTCCGTGCCTTCACGTTGCAAATCTGGAGTGAGACAAAGTAATTAGAGTGAGACAATGTTAACATTGTCTCACTGATGAGCGAATTGGCCACTTTGCTTTCTCAAATCAGTGAGAGAACATGTACATTGTTAGGTAACTGTAGGAAAATTAAGTTTACAACCCTTTAGTATTACAAAACTATTAAATAGCTCGAAGATGACAACATAGAGTGCCTGCATACCACTTAGAATGAAAATCAAACAATTGTGATATCTAGCTCTGTACTCCTCTATAAACACAAACAATGTTATGTGGTGGACCAATGCTTCTACGTGTCAAAACAAATGTTACTGTTAGATCAGAGAATCATAAGCTCTTCTGAGCAGCCCAACCATTTATTGAAATTAAGGGATCTATTAGACTCAATCTCAACCAATTGGCCAGAATTCTACCAAATTGCCCTTTAAAATTTCTTCTAGACCGACAGGAAGAGAAAGTTCAACCTGGACTCACCTTGTAGTTCTATACCGGCCACATTGAGGAAGTCCTGCAGTTGACATTGCACCAGTTTGACCACGGCCAGCCTCATGACACACCACGAGTACGACGCAGGGTTGGAGTGTTCAGTGTTGTCCTTGGGTGGTGCTGGTGGCTTGTCTCTGATACTGTCTCCTTCAAACACATTGTCCTCCTCCTCCTCCTCACTCAAATCACTCACTGCACTGTCCGCACTGTCGTAGTCCACGTCCGCCGCCTCGTCTGGCAGTATCGGCTAAAATGGGGATGAGACTTACAAATTTGTATTGTCTTGTACATTGCTTTCTGAAATTAATGTGTAAAAAAGCTGTTAAGTTAGGTAACTAAATGCAGGGGTCATCTGAAAACGTGAGGTATTTCCTTAACTCCCGAAACGTACGGAAGTCAATCCTAAACCACTCGATAGGATAATTAATTGTAGAATAAGGGGAATAGTTGCTGGCTTACTTTAAAGAAGCACAGGTAGAACATAGAACATATAGTTTATTGTTGTCTTAGGACGCTAGACACGAGCCCAGAAATTGTTTTCACATTACTTCAGGCTAGACCGCCTGGTGTCTTTATTTTGATTTGAGTGTTTTTCATTAACACTCAGTTAAAATCCATTAGTGACTTGTCGGAATTTGAACCCGGGATCTCAGGGACCGAAATCCCGCGCTCTAACCACTAGACAAAAAAAAAACCACCAAATGCTCGCTCCCCCATAGAACATATAGTAGAGACGCTGAACACAAAACCTCTTTTGTAAACTCTCTTCACTCTCCGAACAAATTGACAAAGTCCTGGGAACAAAATATTGTGTGTTCAGAGTCTTTTCTGTATGTTATATGGCCTATCTGCACTACTTTAAGGTAAGCCTAGAGCTGATATCCTCCTAATTCTACAATTCAAAATCCTGGCCTTGAGCCTTTCCTTGATTAACACTATTGATAGGATACGTTCATCTATTTTTCTTCAAATAAAAAAAATTATCTTACAATTAACTTTAAAACTAGTGATGGGTCGGTTGCTTATATTATCGGTTCAGTTTCGGTTCAGTTTTTATTAAAATTTGTTTCTCGGTTTTCAGTTTTTTGGGGTTTTCCCTTAAATCACAGCTAATTTAAATACAATTTTTCTCTCTACTCATGCAAAGATACTAAAAAAACCAACGTAAAAAAGGTATTTATACATCAATCACACAAACAGAGCAATGACAAACCTTGCTCAAGAAGTATGAGACCATAGACATCTCTGGAGGTACAAACTGTTCCCTGTAGGTAGGTTTGTCCTCCTTCATGGTTGGTGAGCCGGACTGTGAGGCAAACTGTCCTAGCAGCTTCATGTTGAGCAACATCCGCTGTTTAATGAGTCCTGGCGACCACAATTCTTCCTTGGAGCTGGTGGACTCTGTCCGCTCAATGATGCTCTTCTGTAACACAAAGTGTGCAATTGTTGAGCAAATCTCAATACCAAAACCATGTTTTTATAGTTTTGCCTAATTTCTGAATGGATTGGTTATACTGCCACAACCCATGTTTTCATCTCCTTCCATAAAGTATTTTTGAGGTAATGGCATGTTTTTCAAGTAATGAATAAAATTATGCAGCAATAACAAATTCTAACTTGACAGTTTAAGTTTAAACCCTTCTAATTGCAACAAAAACGTCTTCGTAAATAACACAACGTGGTCATAAATAACTACCATATAAAAGGTAAATAAAAATCTAACAAGTAACAACAAAATCAAAAGGAAAATGTTTTATAACTAAAGGTATACCAGCCTGATATTTTCAGTAAAGCCAAAATTGAGGTAATATCGTGATAGTGATCCATCTCCCGAGGTCGTGGAGACATTATCATTGTCTTCTGAGATCACTGCAAAATCCTGAATATCTTCCTCGATCACGGGAACAAAATCAATGTCTTTCATTGTCGCAGAAAAATTCTGAACATCACTCAGCGGTAACATAATCACCATCATTGTATCCATCGGTTGCGAAAAAGTTATCAACGTCTGCCGCGACCATGGCAAAATAATACTAAACATCTCCCACGGTTATGAAGACATTATCATCGTCTTAGGAAATAGTGAAAAAATTCTGATCATCTCCTGCGGTTGTGTAGAAATTATTATCGTCACCCGGGGTCTTGTGGACATCATTATCGTCTCCCACGATTGCGTCAAATTCATTAACATTTTCAACCTTGTAGACATTATCCTCGTCTTCAGCGATCAGGGCAAAATTCTGATTATCTCCAGCAGCTGCAATTAAGGACTCCCGCGATCAGGAAAACGTCATCATCGTCTTGTGCGATCGCGGCAATAGCAGTAATTATCCAATCGTGTGGGCATGACTGGTATCGGTATCGGAATAGACTTTTGGCAATACCGACCAATGTCAAAGTATCGGTGGTATTAAGAATCGGCATCGAGAATCAACACATCCCTATATCTATTGTATAGTTGTATTTTATGTAAGTTCTTTCAGGGTTACATGAGAGAAAAGACAACTACAGTCTATTGTATTAGTCTAGATAAAAATTCAACCAGTTTGTAAACTCATGATGAATCTTGCTTGTAAAAAAGTAAATAACAGTAGTTTGTTAAGAGTCATAGTACCCCAAAAGATGGTAGACTCATCACATACATTTTTCTCTGTAAATTGTGTGTGAGTGCATTATGACATGACACAATAAAAAAGTTAAGTTTAATCAAATCAAAACATTAAGAGTTGACAGGAATGTTTAAGCAGTACTAATGCAACATTGTTATGTAGCTAAATCATATTGTGGTATCTGGTTTCAAAAGGAATCGTGCCTGTTTCTAGTCCAGTTGTTTTACGTGCATTCTACCCAATAACGTTAGGTCTACGTGTATTCTGTTGTGCGTGTGTTGTGTGTTGTTTACGTTAGTTTAACGTGTATTGTGTGTCTTGCTTTGTCTCTTGTAAACAAACTATTTCTCTAAGTTAACACTTGAGAAGGGAATGTTGTATCCAATCACTCACAAAACACATGCAGCCACACATAGCTAGATCATAAGTGTGCCAGACTATTAAAATTCTACTGTTTCTTCAAGTACTCCTTGAAAGTAACCTTATTTATTTACACAATTTCTTGTAGACCACCAACCTGAATAGAGTTGCTCTGAGCGACCCGGAGCAGTTTCTTCACTCCACCACCAAACAGTGCAGCCCAGGTGTGCTCTGAGTAGCGCTGCCCCATCAGACGGTACAATATGTGACAGTCACACGTGGCGACCGAGTACACTATCAGACTCATGTAGGACGCCACAAACGCCTCACACAGCAACACATTGAGACGGGGCGTGTCCTCGTCCTTCTCACGTGCTAGCAACGCCCTTAGGTTCGTCACACCTGTGAAACATCAACTGATTTAAACAAAGGTTATCTGATAAAAAGATAGGCCATTTGCCAGGAATTATTAATAATGATTATCAACAAAATTAGAAAATTGTCAGGTGTGTTTGGAGTTCTTCACTTCTGATTTCATACAAGATCAACAATTACAAAAACATATGATTGACTTTGTAAGTAGTTGACAGCTCGCTTAATAAGTGTTACCAAGTATATTGTTTCTCTTATTGGAGTAAAAGAAAAGAAATTTGGGGGCTACAAAGGTGTCAGATTACCAAAAATGTTGGATTATTATAACTGGGTTTTCTTAAAGAATGAAATAAAAATAAAATATTACCATTATTTGTTAATGCAGCATTTAATTATCAAGCATTTGGAACAGTACAAATCGGAATGGAGTTATCAAAAAGTACTAATTAGTACATTTATTACGACTAGGATGCCCAATATAAAATAAGGGAGAGAAGTCTATGTTATTTTCCCAACTAGGTGGATAAGAGAAAGGGTTCATGATTTAATTAAGACGATATTGATTTTATTACAAGATATGAATTATCAAAACGTTTTGTCTTTTTCTTTAGGTAATCCCACAAGGTTTTTAGTAAAGGAGTGTCTCTATAGCCATGTGATCAGCGATCGTGTTGAACTGATTGTTATCAAGAGCAACTGTGTTATCCCGGATGAAAAGAGTTTTTTCCACCAACATTATCAAATTACTTTTTTCATTTTTCAAAACAATTAGGTAACCTTTTCCTTTTCCCGGTTTTGGATAACCCTAACCCTACGCTCAAACAATTGTTTTGCGTTCGGTCAGATGTAAGGACAATAACTGAACCTAAATTGTAGGGATGGACGGGTCCCGAAATTTCGGGAATTTATCGGGAAAAAAATATTCCCGATTATCGGGACGGGATTACATTCGACTCGGGAATTTTTCGGGACGGGATTTGGTCCGATCATTGGCGATTTTTCCGCTTCGCGAGTGCCGATAACGCCGTTATTGCGAGCGATAGGTCCACAAACGCAGGAGACGAAGTCATTTCGACGATTACGCCGTTACCGCGGAGTCATGACGACGATCGCGCCATGGCCGCGATTATTGGACCGACGATCGCACCGTGACCGCGAGTCATAACGACGATCGGGCTGTGACCGCGGAGTCATACCGACAGTCACGCCGTGACCGCGGAGTCATAACGACGATCGCGCCGTGACCGCAAAGTCCTACCGACGATCGCGCTGTGACCACGAGTCATACCGACGATCACGCCGTGACCGCAAGTAATACCGACGATCACGACGTGACCGCGGAGTCCTACCGACGATAACCCCGTGACCGCGGAGTCATACCGACGATCGCGCCGTGACCGCAAGTCATACCGACGATCGCGCCGTGACCGCGAGTCATACCGACGATTGCGCTGTGACCGCGAGTCATGACGACGATCGCACCGTGACCGTGGAGTCATACCGACGATAACCCCGTGACCGCGAGTCATGACGACGATCGCGCCGTGACCGTGGAGTCATACCGACGATAACCCCGTGACCGCGAGTCATGACGACGATCGCGCCGTGACCACGAGTCATGACGACGATCGCGCCGTAACCGCGAGTCATGCTGACGATCGCGCCGTGACCGCGAGTCATACCGACGATCGCGCCGTGACCGCGAGTCATACCGACGATCGCGCCGTGACCGTGGAGTCATACCGACGATCGCGCCGTGACCGCGGAGTCATACCGACGATCGCGCCGTGACCGCGAAGTCATACCGACGATCGCGCCGTGACCCGCGAGTCACAAGTTTCTATAGGTACCTGTAAATTGTTACCCATTTTTTTGTTTTTATAGATCAGCGCCACAAATGGTAAAAATTGATTTCGTATGTCTTTTTTGGTAACTGCAATACAGTACTTTCTTTTTATGCACAGAAAAAAATCCCGTCTCGTCCCGTCCCGAAAATCGGGAAGGAAATAAAAATCCCGTCCCGTCCCGTCCCGAACTAAAAATTCAATCCCGTCCATCCCTACTAAATTGTCATTATTCTGCAAGTATTTATAGAAAATCATTATTTTGATGTTGTCTTTATTATGTCTCTTTTTTGTAACTCTTTTTTCCTCCAGTTTTTTCACTACTTTGAATGTACTAAACTGGTTAGTTAACAAACAGAAATCTTGAACTTTCCTGTAAAAATTAGATTTTGAGTCTTGACTCAACAGCACAACTTAATGAATTTGTTCCTCAATTGAATCTGTTTTTTCAACATTGCTTTGACTTTATTTACTCATGTTAATTGTTTTGCCATTTATTCTTATTTTCTGTTGTTATTTTGTTCTTGTTGCTCAGAATCTATTGTATTCTTGTAATCTTGCCGTCTACAGTTTTGTTTTCACTACCTCATAAACACTGATTTATTTTCTAGGTTATGTTTTGCTCCCATAACAGCCCGGTATTATGACAGTTCACTGCCACCTGGACTTTACTCTAAAATCTCGTTTATAAAACCAGCATTAGTTTTGACGCGTTTTGTTCGTGAAACCAGACTTCCTTAACTGTGGTTTAAATCATCAGTTAGTTTTAACCGAAGATTAACTAAACCACCATTAGCGTGAATTTTGTGAAATCGGGCCTAAGTGTTTCTAAACTTGATTACAGTCATGATTTCCAAAAGATTCCTAATGAATTCCAAAATATTGGGGAGTAATTAAAACTCTGTCACAATGAACCTATCCCATGAAATTAAAATGTATTCTTCCCCACCTCATCCTTAATAACTAAACTAGGTACCAAACTTTCTAAGAATATAAAAATTATCTGGAAAAATGACTCATTATACTGTGCCGACAAGATATGAATGCATATTACCAGGCCACTTGGATGGTTGGGTGCTGACGGTGACTGGTTCGTCTGTGCTGTATCTACGCTTGCGACTGCTGGCAATCAGGTGACTACTGGAGTTGACACACGACAAGTTCTCTACTCCAGCGACCCCGCAGAACCTGGGGAACACAGTAATGTATGATAATGTTATTGATAGGGATGGACGGGATTGTACTTTTAGTTAAGGGTGTGATTTTCATTTTCATCCTGATTTTTAGGACGGGGGGGGAGATTTTTCTTTCCCTGCAACAAGGGTAACTTTAGTTTGTTTAAATTATCTTGAGTACAAAATCTTGCAAATGGCAAAATAATGAAAAAAAAATATATAGTCTTAATGACTATATTGTATTGATAATAGGTAATAATGCAAACTGCTAAGGACAAACAGGTATTTAAGCCAACTATCACTGGATTTTTTAAAAATATGAGGGGATTTTAGACCATGTAACTACCAATATGAAAGCAGTTTTAGCTGTCGTAATCATGAATTGTGTAACCCATATTAATCAATATTCCCAAAGTCAACAAGACTACAATTTTTAATTTCGCCCAGAGCTAGGAAGGATTTTACGATTTTGCCATGCAATCGTGAACATTTTCTGTGGCCACAGAGACGTTATTATCATCAACATTTCCCAATAATACAGGGAGATTTTTTTTTCAGCACCATCATGCAGCACCATGCATTTGCAGCACCATCGTGAACATCACCCACCTGTGACCATGGCAAATCCTGACCATCTCTCATGATCTCGGAGATTATCCATCAATACAGCCTCCTGCGTTGTTGGAAACCTTGTGAACATGTTCTGTGATTGTAGCACCATTGTGAACATTTCTCTCAGTCTCAGAGCCATTGATAACATGTTCTGCTATCATAGCACCATTGATAACATGTTCTGCTATCATAGCACCATTGATAACATGTACCTTGATCACGACACCATCGAGAACACATCCCACAATCAAGGTTTTATCGAGAATGTGTATCGTGATCGTGGCACAGTTGGTGATATGCCACACTATCATGATGCCATCATGAACATCTTCCGTCGTCATTGCAAAATCGTTAACATCTCTTGCAATCATGGCAAAATTGTTAACCCCCGTCCCATGAAAATTCTAAATTAAACCTAATTTTGTCCCAAAGGTTGGGACTTCTTTAATATCTCACCCGTCCACTGTCTGTTTGACGCTGCAACTGTCACTGTCACACAGAGACTGGTAGATACATGAGGACAGAGCCACAGACAGATCTCTCAATACAAACACCTCACTGAGGTTGACTCTACTGAGGGTGGGGGGCGACCTCAGCTCGACAATGGTTTGTAGCATGTCATGGGCCAGGTTCTGAAAACATAAGCCTTTACGTTAAATCCAGTATAGGAGGGAAATTACAACAACAAAATAATACCCCCGCCGCAGCAAACCTGCCGACTAAGCGAATTTCCATTTGTCTGAATTGATTTTCAGTTAAATATATTTTAATAACATTAGGTTTAACGAGTACCTAGGTTTGCTGCTACAAGGAAACTAGTAAAGTGTGTTTTTGAGTAAAATATTGATAGCTTAGTACAAAATAAATAAATTTGCCAAGTTTGATCAAAATATATCCATAAACAAGCAAACTACAACATTTGACAATATTCTCCATAAGAATAACATGGGAATTTTAAATTTAAAATTTTTTTAATTTTCTCCGTTACTAATAATCGAATAAAAATACTTTTATATACTAAATTATTTGTTTTTTTAAGCTCTTTAAAAAGGTCTAAAGAGAAACCGGGAAATTTTGTGTTTTGAGGGTCAAAAGTGAGAAAAACCAATTTTTACCCCATAAAACCCCCCGTAAAGCCCCGTTCCCATGGTCCGATCGTGCTGGTTTGCGAACTCATTCAAGTTTATCCCGCTTTACACCTTTAAACCAAATTTCATCAAAATCGGACAAAAATTACTCAAGTTATCGCGTTCACGGACGTATATATATATAAGTCTATATATATATATATACATATATAAAAATTTGAACGAATGGTGTTTTTGGCCTCTGGGGACATCAAAATGAAAAAGTAAATCGGTCCCGGGTCTAGGTCTTACCGTGCCACCTACGGTAATAGCTACTTCCCTATAGGGAAATTCGCTAAAACATCAATATCAGTAAAAAATGCAATGTAAACAAGTTTTGGTTATGCCATATGCGTTAGGAAAGTCATTGGTTCAATGTACCTGGAGGTGTCGGACAGGGTCGGCCACCACAGTCTTGTTACACGCCACACTGGCCGACAGCAGAGGTAGTGTTGTAGGGAACGGCAGAGGAGACAGCAGCTGTTGTTGTGTCTTCTCCTGCTGTAACTCCTGTAGTAGTAACACCAACTCCATCCTCACACTGGCCAGACCTCCACCACTGGCACCGTGCAGACTGCAGTAGGACAGCAGTGTGCGCAGCAGCGTCTCATTGGCTGTACAAGTCAACATTCAATTCTATCTTTACATCGGCTACAACTTTATAGGCTTCAGACCCTTATGGACCTAAGCTAGCTCAACTCTAACACTGGGGGTTTGTTGTTTACTTTCCACAACTATTGTATCCGGTTCCTATCTCTGTGCAATGTTCAGTACTGCTGTAGTATTCATTAATGGTGGAAAGGAAAACCAACCGTCCCACCAAGAATGAATTTTTGTAAGTCATTTAATTCTTGTGGTTCAAAAAGTAAACCCCAATAAAATGTATTGCCAACTTTCATATAATTAAAAAATTTTACTATGACAAAATGAATTTAAAAACATTTAATATTATTTATATTTAACCATACTGTATTTAGATTATCTGATTACATGAAAAACTAAACATGATGTTTTATTTTTATGTACTCATCTTGTACAACTATTTATTTATACCTTTGAGCCACTTTTTACGACGGGCAGCCCTTTGCACCTTAGCCTCAAAATCGAGCTTCTCTGCCATCAGGATCTCATGTAGTGTTGGCTTCTCTTTGTTGAAAGTTGGAGTGTTGTTATGATCTCTTAGATCACTTGGGTCTGGGGGATCATCTGAAATAATTAAATTTATAAGCAAATGCTACACTTGTGATAATCTATATCATCCAATACCATAAAAGCTTATTATAGTACAAAATCTGACAGCAACTAAATTTTATGTTTCTGCAACTTAAAGGCATTGGGTAGTAGCAGTCTTATTAAATACTTATAAACTATAAGAGAGCCCAGGTGGCGGAAACTACCGGTATTTATCTTATTGAGAAATAACTTTTGGATTACTGTATGTTAGGTCTATTCAAAAGATCGAAATACCGAGAGTGCAGCAAAGTGATCATGTCTGTAGAACTAATACTGGTTTTTGTTGGAAGGGACTTAAACGTCAATTAGAAGTTTATGACATGTGTGTGGTTTAAAGTTGCCAGTGACATTCAAACCATCAATCCCAAAAATATCGCAATTCTCTTTTACATTACCAGAACCAGATCTGTTCCTTCCTGTTTTTTTTGTCCCACCTTTAAATCTTGGAACACTTGGTTCCAGCCCAAAACTGTTTTACACATTACTTCACGATAGTCCAAAGGGTTGCAGCATTATCACATTGGTGATTGACTGGGTGATATGGGCTGCAGGTAGCTGAATATTATTTTTGGGTCAGGTCCTGAGGTATCCATTTAAATAATATTATTTGGTCAAACTCATGTCAGATTGAGTCAAACCGAACTTTAATTTTCACGATAGCACAAAGCATCTCTGTAGCAGCTCAATAGAAAATTAATCATTTTTCCAAAATTGGCGTAAAGATGTTCACGGTTTTGCTGCAATTATGGAAGACGATGATTTTGGCCTGACCACAGAAGGATTTTACAATTTCACTGTGACCACAGAAGACATTCTTGATTTCATTGTAGCTGTAAAAGATGTTCACCAAAACAAGAGTTTTGTCTACAAAAGACCCAAGGGCCAACATTTTTGCTGTGATCCAAAGTAAACGATTGGCCCAAAGAACCCTACGGTGGACAATTCCTCAATGAGTTTCTTGTGACTCTGTTATAGAGCTACTTACTGGGGGCATCTGCCAGCTCCACATCTCCTGGACTGTAGTTGCAAAGCTGTCTTAATGCCTCCACCTCTCTCTCTAGCCACAGGTACAACTGGTACCTCAGTTGACCTCCGTCCACCTCGTAGCCAGTAGCCAGTGTAGACAACTCCTCCATCAGTATCTTGAGGCACGCCACAAACTTGAGCTGTTGTGCCATGATGTCCAATGTACCACCAACCCGCTCATCTTCCTCTTCTGTTCCGTTCACTTCTGTAAGTATCGTCGTAACAATATTCAATGACAAATTTTTTTTCGAATAACAATTTTAACATATTTTGTTTTACGTAAGCATTATTTTGGATAAAATTTCTGTTCAATTAACAAAAAAAGTAATCAAAATTTATAAGAGTAACATTTTTAGGCCTAAAAATTAATAAGGTACCATTAACAATTTGGGATCCATTATTGAATCAGAACCTTTCCCAAGGTATTTTAAGTATGTTACTTAAGAATTCCAAATAATTGAATTTGATAAACTGAATCTTTTTTCTTAAAACGTGTAACTTTAATAAATCTAGATTGAAAAAAACTCAAGAAAATCACTGACTGATCAGACATAGAATAAACTAGAACTGATACACTTGATTTAAGGCTGTAGTTAATAGGCTGATTAAAAATCCTGAAATTATTAATTTCCAGCATAAAAAGTACATCATATACCTGGCTCAAGTTTCTGGTCAATCTTCATCGCCATAGGAGCCTCGGCCTCCTCGTCACTCCCGTGCTCCGGCTCCAACTCCGGGTCATCCCAACGGATCACCAGGTCATCATCCTTGTTGCTGGTCACAGGCTGAGACCAGTCAAACTCTGCACTGGACGACCAGTCCATTGAGGACTCTGTGACACAAACTACACATTAGACACTGTCTGAAGCTTTAAAATTACCAGTATACCAACCATCAAGAGTAACCATTCATTCAAGCCAAACCAACTGCTTTGCAATTAAATTTCACCCGGATATAAATCTTTTTTTATCTATTTGATAACCAACAACTAACTTAACATTAAACTGGTTTTTGGAAAAAGTACCGGTACGGAGAGTCATTATCGAAATTTGGTTGTGGATAATTGGGTAGGCCTACGTTCCAATAAGATATGGACCACAGGCCTTTTGGTGGCATAGCAGCGATAGTAGCGAAATAGTGGCGAGTCAAAACCGAAACTGATATATTGGAAAAGCGATTGTTACGATCAAAACAAAATCACATAGATCTTCCGAGATGGCAGCAACATACACGATCACCCAGTGTAGTTGTGATTTTTTACGTGACACAACAGCATTTGAAACGCCGTAATGAGTGGAAACCTCAATTGTAGGCTTTTGGTGCTGATGATTAAAAAAATACAAGTTTCCCAGTCCAACACTGATTCACAGTCTTTTTCCCGGTTATCAAAACTCAAGTACAACTTGATACACACAGAACTTCCTGTTCCCAACCTGGATAATGGCTAGTTATTTTATTTCATTTACAAAACAGTTACAATTATTGTACTTGCGATCAATCAAATCCGTTTTAAAAGCCACATTTATTTCACTTGGTTTTGGATTTGACTACAAACGTGATCGGAAATGGTTACTCAGTATTCGTAAACAACATTTAATGTAAACATATCAGTGACAGCTAGAAAAAAGAATCTTTATCCAAACAGCTGTTCGTAATTTCATAAATGACGTATGTAGTAGACATAGAAAGAAAACTTCGCCAAAACTCACAAAATTGGGTTTTTGATCGTCCGGTATTTTATTTCCAAAATAGTGAGGCCATATTTTAATGGCTTAAGACACTCTCCCTAATCCTGTGAATATAATTAAACTATTAGAATCATTGTGGGTGCTCTAGTTTTCTTGGAGTAGGCCGCGTAAAATGCCTTCTCGGCCGTGATAGACAGGCAGACAGACAGAAAGTAATTGATATAAGACTTGTTTCGGCTTCTTTAATGTATAATATGTAAAAATAACAAAAAAATGTATAATTTTGAGCAATGTACAGACATAACTCTAATTTTCCCAATTTTATAATTAATTTCAACCTGTAATAATATCAACGTGAAATATTTATGTATGAAATACTAACGTGTCATCTGATGATAGATATTATTAGTACAATGATTCATCCTAAATTTGATGGAAGATAATGATCTAATCAATCAGCAGCTTAATTCAGGTTTTTAGGTAATCATCAAGATAAATATTTAAATACATACAGAACCATAAATCATCAACAATTTCTTTGTAGATATAGGATGGTAAACTTGCAATGTTTTCATAAAATTGAATTAAGGAAAGGAAAACATTTATTGCTAAGCTGTTAAAAATACATGAGTGAATACCAGGGGAGTCCCTCACTCCTTACTCAATGGCAAACTTAGCTTCTTATAACCTTGGCCAAACTCATAACCTTTCCCTAATTATGAACTTGAAATTCCTACTTTTAGCGAATTCCCCATATAGGCTAGAGAATAAGCTACTGTGGATCTCATGGTAAGAACTGGACCCGGGACAGATTTACCATTTTGTTTTTTGAGGTCCCCAGAGGCCAAAAACACCATTCGTTCAAATATATATATGTGTGTGTGTGTGTGTCTGTTAGCACGATAGCTCAAGCAAAAATTATCAGTTTGATTTTAATGCAATTTATTACAAATGTGTAAACCTATGCAAATTCAATCGAGTTCTCGATTGAGCATGATCGGACTATAGGAACAAGGATTTATGGGGGTTTTTTTAAGAGTAAAAATTGATTTTTTCCATTTTGACAAAAAAACATAAAATTGTGCATTTTTTTCTAAGCCATTTGTTAGAGCTTAAAAGAGAAATAACTTAGTACTGTAAATTGAAGCATTGTTGCATGCTTAACAGAGTCCTTGGAGCCTAGACGTTTTAACTCATAAAACAATTAAAGAAATACAAAGAAAATTTCTAATCCCACAGTATACTAGATAATTAAATTACAATCACTCTGGTGTTCGAATATATATTTTTGGACGGTAAATAACTATTAAGCGGCTGTTTGAAATGAACAAAATTAACATTGCTCTTATGGCGAGCAAATCCAAGATATCCAAGATACCATCGTCACCGGGTCAGCTTCCATCGCCTCCCCTGGATAAAAATTCAAAACTACAAAGAATATTTCTAATTTCACAGTCTAGATATTTAAATTATAATCACTTTCTTCAGCAGCTGTTTGAAATCATCCAAGATGGCTGCTAGCCTCCAAGGACTCTTAAGGAGAAAATTATAAAAAGGTAAATTAAAAATTCTCATGTTATTCTGATGGAGAATAAATAAACTGATTTGTGTACAGTTGAACCTCAAACCTCGATAAAACAAATTCCTCGAGAAGACAAATTATTTTTAATCCCCTTGACACTTTCATATAGGTCAATGCTAAAAACACCTCTATACAACGTAGTAATTAAGTTTAAAACCTCCATAAGACTAATTTGTTTGTGACATGGGCTAGGACTGATTAACCTCTATACAACGAATATTCTTAGCACAAAACCCCTACAAGACGAACGTGACCTCTATAAGACGAATTTATCATAATCTTAACCTCCATAGTACATAGTTTTCAAAACAAACAGAAGCTTGTCTCAACATGAAACCCCCACCCATTCCTCCTCCTTCCTCAGTCATTGTTTGGAGAAACCTTGGAGCGAGGAGAAACCTCTATAAGAAGAATAACAGCAGCATCAACCTCGATAAAACGACCTTCTTTATTAAGAATACCTCTATAGTACGAATTTTTCCCATACCCCTTGAAATTCGTCTTATAGAGGTTCAACTGTAGTTTACTTACTTATTGATATATTGTAATACAATTTGGCAAATTTGTTTATATCATAGTAAGCTACCCACATTTCAATTAAATAACACACCTTTCCTGTAGCAGCAACCTAAGTATTCATTTAAATTCATGTTATTTAAAATGAAATAAATCTGACAATGTTAAGGGAATATTTTAGTGGAAATTCAGCCAGGTAAATGGAAATCCCGTTAGTCTGCCGGTGTGCTGCGGAGGGGGGTATTTTAAAACAACTGATAAAAAGTTACTGGCATTTTATACTAAGAATAAGAGAAGAAAGTAAGCATGTTACAATTGTATTCAAGTTGTGAATGATAAAGATGCTGTATAAAAATGTGTAGTTATTTTACCTTTTTGAGCCACAGTGGCAGAGTCCTTCTCAGCATGATCTGTATGCAGGATGCCAGTCTCTATTTGGAAATCTTGATGCCTTGCTTTAGTGGGGCTGCTCATCAAACCTGCAACACAAGTACATTGTTACTAGACTAGTGTACATGTTTCTCGTATTCGAGCAACTGCAAAGTATTACAGGAGTTATTTCAAAAGGAATACCAGTCATATTTACTCTGAGTTTAAAAGAGTCAACTCAAAGATTACCGGTGTGTAACTCAATGGAGATACTCACGATGTATATAACAGTAATCAACATTTCCTGTAGGCCTAAATATTGTATGATATTTCATTGCCTGGGATTGCTTTTTAATGTTTTCTACAAACATTTTCTGACTTGTAGCCATATAAGGTTGTCCATGTTTATCTTCGTTATTGATAAACCTAAAGCATTCCGGCCGGGTTTATCCTTCTCAAAATGCCTCGCTGTACAGGCAACTCAGGTCATTGATAGTGGGCCAATTGATAACAAAAAGTTGTTTTTGGGGTAGTGTTAGGGCGCATTTGTAACCTAATAGTTGAGATTGTCCAGGGTCAGGTGCTGACTGTGATGAGTTAAGCCTATTACGCACTGTTCTGTAGCTGCGGTCGTTATCACGATTACGCCTCCTGTCTATGTTTCGTTGTCGTCGCGTCGGAGGCATTTAAAAGAAAAAACAACAAATAAACAAATTATAGCTACACAAAACAACGATATATGCACAAATTTAAGTTACACAAAACAACGATAAATATACAAATTTAAGATACAACCATACTAACACGATCCGTCTTGGGGGTTATGTTGACACAAACTCAAATAGTAAATAAATAAATGTACTCAATGCGTTTCATTGAATTGAAAAATAAATAACAGCAACTAAATTTTACAGCTGATCAAAATGTAAACAATTATGTTCTTCATAGGGATAAAATGGGAACTTTCAAAGCCACTGGGGCAGAGCCCAAGGGACTTTAAAAAAAATGTAAGGCCAGTTTGCAAATCTACGCGACACGCTCTTTCCAATGAGACGTCAATGGATAAAATCAGCTTAGAAATGACGGAGGAGTTTAACCGACAAAGTTTCATGTAGCGTATTAATTATATAGATATTATATATTTAGAAATATGTCCATTACTTTTTATACTTTTATACTTTTCTTTGAAATGGCGACCGTACAAAGTAGGTATTTTAAGCCAAGTATGAATGGAGATGAGTGTATGATGAGTGGCGCGATCTTGTAGTCTTGTTAGTGACTAAGGCCGACATATTCCTTAGACACAGCTGTTAATTAATAGCCCATACAGCTAATGACAACTAAGGGACCTACAGTTTATAGTGGAATCCGAACCACATTTTTCCTTGGTATATACGAATTGGTCTAATTATCAGGATTGTACTGCGGATAGTCGTAGTACTCGCACGATGACTAGGATAAAAATATTCAAATTTTGATGAAATTTGGTACAAACAAGAACACTTATATTTATTCTAAAGAGTTTGGAAACCAGTATGATCGGACTATTGGAACAGTGTTTGTTGGTGTAAAAATATGTTTTCCCAATTTTTACCCTCCAAAACTTAAAATTTTGCAATCCCTTTCCAAACTATTATTTTATTTATATAGAGCTTATAAAAACAAACAATTTTGTATGGTGAAATATTGTTGTGCTTGTGTTGATCAATCATATTTTGCAAAGATTTTTTTTCATACTAAGCGCAATATAAAAAAAACACACTTTATTTCCTTTTGTAGCAGCAAACCTAAGTATTCATTAAAATTTATGTTGTTTGAATAGGAAATAAACATGACGGTTTCAAGGGTATATTATACTGAAAATCCAACCAGTAAGTCTGCAGGTTTGCTAAGGTGGGGGTATTTGTTAAATACTAGTAAGTAGTTTTTATTACCAAATGACTAAAAACTGGAAGAATGATGTGGTGTAATTACTGTATGTATCTATCAACAAATAATATTTAATTTGTACAAGCTAACTTTTTTTAATTATGTTAGATAGTTACATAAAGTTGCTCTCAAGTGGAATAGTTAACCTAAGAGGCTCTTTTATTTATTTTTTTGAAACTCTAGCTTTTAGAAAAAGTGGAGACGACTTATCCGTATCACACACAAATGAGGTAAGGGCGTGATGTGGGAGGTGCACTGTGGCTGTGCATAATAATCAGCATATATGAGAACATGGCCCGCTGGTGACGCGACAGTCGCCCGGGCTCGTCACCGGTAGCGAGGGTACGTGACTCAAGTAGCCAGTCGCGTGCCTCATCATCGTCGTCGCGTTGCTTAATAAGCTCCATATGATCACATGGTATGGTACGGTAAGAGTGGCTTTAGAGCAGGCTCAGTCGTGAGCCACTTGAGTCGCCAGGCAAAATAAGGCTCTTACTTGTGAACCTAAGGTGGACTATAAACAAGCAGGTTGCAGCACTATAATATGATTAATTAGTGATTGACTGGATTTCAACCCTAAACTTCAAGTCAGAAATCCAGCTCATTAATAACTGGATAAATCATCCATTGTTAACAACTCTCAACAGACCAATTCAATTCTATCTATTAAATTCTAATTGCTATAGCATCCACAAAACATACAAAAAATATGTTCTACAATTATTAAATTAACGATCGGTAATAATTATCCACAAACAAACAGGACTGTTGGGTGCTTGGTGAGGAAGCTGAAGGACATTCTACTCAAGGTCTAGTGCTGTTGACTCCATCCACCACTACTGCACTACTCCACTATTCCTCCAACTACTGCAAGGATCACTCGGGTCTGGTACTGAAGACAGGTGAGCCACACACTGTTAGTGTAGCCAATAAACAGTACTGTAATGTAAAGTTGGTAGTAATTTTAGTAATTTTAATTAAATTGTTTTAATTGATAACATTTTAATACATTTTGAAAGTATATTTTTCTATTGAGCGTTTTTAATGTAAAAACCACTTTATAAAATACTTTATTTTACAAGAAAATAATCTAAAAATTTTAATTTGTATGCTTATTAGTATTTTTAAGATACAAATTCTCCTGAGATAAAAAGGGCAAAAGCCAAAACACCCTCAGAACATTTTCCAAATATAAATTTCATGTGAATAAATTGAATAAACAGTATTGAGTTTTTAATAATGATAACAATTTTGAATTTATTTTAGAATATTAAAAAAAATTTTTAGAGAGGTACATTTTGATCATGTTTTCAAAGTATATTTTTTCTGTTGAGCGTTTTAATGTAAAAATAACTTTTTAATGCATGTCCACTTTATTTTACAAGGGAATGATCTAATCTTAGTTTTGTATGTTTATTAGCATTTTTAAGATGAACAATTTTCTAAAATAAAAAGGGCCAAAGCCAAAGAGCAATCTCTGTGGGTCCTCAGAAATTCACCAAATAATAATTGTATAATTGAATGAACTGCATAACAGTATTGAATTTTTAGTAATAGTAAAAAATGTTTAATGTATTTTAAGATTAAAAAAATAATAATTTAGAGGGATTTTAAAAGATTTTTGTAAAAGAATAGTCCACCTCTTTATTTGTTGGGTTTATTAACAGTAAATAATAAAACAATTTAATTTATAAGTTAGGTTGAAGAGTATGTAAGTCCTAGAACAAACAGGCATGTTTGCAAAGCGAAATTCAAAAGTGAGAGGGATGTGTGGCCTAATGTATGAAAACAGCAGTTAGCAGTCATAACTTTTGTTGGGATCTTGTACTCTTTTGAATCCTTAAAACTTTCAAGAGGTTCTTCCATAACACAAACAAATGCAACTAAAAATCTTTTTGTCTTTGTTAATTTGTAGCTGGTTAACTAGTGGTTCTTGTGTTTGCCTCGTAATCAAAATGCGGTCTGATTAATTCTCAGAAAAGTCAATAGCTTATTTATGATTTGAAATTTGACTATAAGCTGTCATTGATCAATGACGTTTTTATCAAATGGCTATAAAAAAATGGGATGTTTGACAGAAACATACCTACACACATTATCTCACTCTATTCAACACTCACTTGAATTCATGTACAGCTAAAAATATGTAGGCCTATACAAATTGTGTCATGGTCTTAAGCTTTTAAAAAAAAATTGACTTTAACTACAGCATCCTACAGACAAGATTTATTTTCCAGGAACTAGCTATTCATCTATAAAATCTACACGTGCAATGAGTAAATTCCTGATGTCTTTATGACGAGACAAGGAAAATGCGTGATGTTAATCAGTTCACATACTCGCGTGCACAAGAGAAAAACTAGAAAACCTTGACTGTTTCGTTACAATGGCAAGGCCCTTTCCACATCCCATTACTAATAATTGCCTTCAATGGGACTACTTTTTGAAATCGTTCCGCCCCTTTAATAAGCTCTCATTTAGGTGTCTTATCATAATCTATTTTAAATAATTTTTTTCCCAAAATTATCTACTACTCATCTTTTAACCAGCAAATTTTCTTTTTAAAGTTATTCTGCCATTGCACCAAGTAGCACTGACAATAAGAAAGTAATACAAATATCACACCTTACACTGTGATAAGAAGTATTTCTTTACTTAGCATGCATGGTGTAGAATCAGTAGTTCAAGGGGTGATGATAAAGAGAAAGGTAAGTGTCTTAACAAAAACTGTGAGTCTTGATTTCAACTACACTCAAAGAAGTTACTTCATGATATATTAGGGTATCTATTAAATTGCATACAAATCCATCTAAAATGTATAAAATTAACAGTAGTCTATCTTCTTTAATCTCTCTTGATATAACTATTGTATAAAAAATAAATCAAACGGCTACTTTGGTCATTCTTTTGATTAGACAACTGGAAATAAGATTACCAATGATGACACTTGATGAATCTAAAAAATTAAATCTGGATTACCTATACAATAGTTTAAATAAGTAAAACCTTGTTCAACTGCCAAATACTATTCTCTTAATTTCAGAACTTTTCATTTTTTTAATACTGTATTTCCTTCTGACTAAAATACTGTACCCTACTGGAAAGATTTTGAAACTATAGGGGATATTTATTTCATCCTTTTCTATTCTGTATGGAATTTTTTTGTTAGCGGATTTCCCTA